CATTAAATACGAACTAGTTCATGCATAATCGAATTCGATCCCGGAACGGAGCAGTTTTTCGACTCAAAAAATAGGTATTTCTCGATAATGACGACGTTATGCGTTTTCCCACACCACAAAGGCCACACTTTGAACCCTTAATATATTAAAACGGAAGACATTTTCACTTACGTGTAAATAGTCATCGCGTGCCGTGATATTTTGATAAACTACACATAATTATAATCATTGTTAGGTTTCACGTAACCGTTGTCCATCTGTCCATAAACTTATTGAGCTTTCTTACATTTATGTAAGAACATTTGACCCTTCTCTTTGTTTGCTATCTTAACTTAAATGAATTTTTATGCACTCAAGTATTTTGCGAGACGACATATAAGTTATTATCTGTAAACGCAAGGAAATGCTCTATTCTGCTGACGGGATGAAAGCCGCTATTTAGTATGATTTTGGGATTATTTTGGGTAAAAGTTTTACTTCAGTAATGTACGCCTTATCAGCCACTCTACTCAGCTCTCATTTTTACGCATATTTATACATTTAAGAAAATTTCGCTATCGTTTCTAACTCTTACCATTTCTGTGGCATGCCAAAAGTGTTATTTAAAGTTTCCATCGCGCTACCATGTTGCTGATTGTGCGGCATAACATATTATCTCGGCGGGTAACTAAAATTAAAACTTATTTATGTCGTGAATGATGTTTGAATTCGGAATATTGTTCTATTTTTCTTCTTAGACCACTTTTTGTAGCATAAGCCCCACAGAACAATTTATATCAGTAATCTTCACTAATGATTTTCCTCGGGAACTGTATCCTATACGTACTTTTCTGGTAAAAGTGGGTTGCAGCATTGTTTCTAACACCATCTGTATGTATATTCATATACCAATTATGTGATGTAGGGAACTGAAACTTTATGTAGGCGTTCTTAACTAATGACCAAGTAATGAATCAAGTCTTCTCAGTTTTCAAAAGAAAATTATGGCTTACAACACGAAACAGGAGGCGTGGTAGGTACGAACGCGGACCAATCAACATGTACTGCTTATCCTTTCAATCAGCGTAAGACTCTCAATCTACGCAGCTTTTTCGAGTTCGCAGGCAATATGTTTGATAGAACAACGCATTCGCTTTGAATGTCAGGCCTTTTCGAAGGCGTAAGTAAACCAGCTAAAAGGCTGCAGTCGGACAAAGGTGACAATTAAATAACCCCACACCACGTTGCCTTGCGCACATCATTATTTGTTTTTACGTTAAAATACCAAAAATTACATCCACTTTCCATATAAAATCTTAGTTCTCATGAGGTCCGCTTTACGGGGCCAGCTCCAAAATAAAGAGAAATTTTCAAAGTTGCATCAATTTTCAAGGATGACTTTTGCATAATATGGCTTTATGTTGGTATTTGTCCTAAAATTATTCCGATATATGGAACATTGTTTGTTATTTGACAGAACTCTGTTCAACCCTCTACAGAACTCCGTTAAGGTAATGGAGGAGTAAAACATTAACTAACTGAACTCGCAGTTAATACGTTACTAATAATAAAAAAGATAATCATAAAATTATTGTACCGGTGAGATCATACAGTCGCTTTAGATAAGTGCAAATACGGATATCTCAGTGCATTATGAATGAGAAACGGAGCAACTACTAAATCGCATATGCAGATTATAAAACGCCTTTATTGCAACTCTGAATATAATTATAAGGGGATGCCCAGTCTATTACATTAGTTTTGTTTCTTTTTGTAGGGAAGATTTTTGAATATTTTCATATCTTCAGTACTAATTTAAATTTAAAAGTAAATAAACTAATTAATAAAAAAAATGTTCTTTTTTGGTCACATATTTTTTACTTTTAATTGGGGCTCTCACGCAGAACTGACTCCTAATCACAACAAAAAGACTTCTCGCCAAAAGCGCATACATGACCATGTAAACTGCTAGTTTATATATTTATATACTTTTCCTGTAATAATTTACTGTCGCTAAGTCGAAATAATTGTACGAAGCTATTTATTTATTTTATTATTACTTACTTATTATTATTTTTTCTTGTTTTAAATGTAATCAATCACTCAGTGGACGTCGCCTGTACGTGTAACATGATGACGCGAAAAAATTAGAGATAGGCAGTATTGCCCGGAATGAAAGTGTGCCCTATCGCGGTAAGCGTCGCGCCTGCCTGAACTCTCACAAACGGCCGTGAACATCTAGTGGGTAATCGCAATTGTTTAACACGCGAACTAGGCTGCAGGTCGACATTGAAGTCGCTATAGGATAGTGAAGTGTTTTCGCACTCTACAAAATTCGGATAAAGAACTCGACAAAAAATATGCAGATTTCATACAATATTCCCCTTTTTTAACTTGGTTTCACTTTCGTAAAATTTACTAGCAAGCACATGGATTTGTTTATGATTAGCATGCATGATTGCTTTTACCCCAGACGTTATAGAGAACTGCAGACTTTCTATACAAAATGAATTGAATTCCGTGTAGAACCACATTTACACTGATAATTCTATATGGAGCGCGATATTTTTGTTCAATTTTATTTAAAAGTATTTTCATAGGGGATAGGACGGCACACCCCTTGCCTGAAAAACGTCATCTCGAAAGGATTATATATACGCACTGCCGCAAATCAAACAACATCACAATAATTAATTCTTATCGCGCTTTTGAAAAGGTTAAAAAGAAATGTTTGTAGCGTGAAACAATTAATGTAAATAAAATAAAAATTTTTGGAGGTAATATTCAGCGCATTGCGATATTGATAGCAGTATCGCTATTTGTGCCGGCGTTAATATCTTATCTTTTGCAAATTTGGTGCATGTTTCCGAGAATCTGGCGATATTTTTGTAGCTCTTATCACTTATCTTGTCACTGCTTTCTTTGAATTTATGTAAAATTTCATTGTTTAACTCACCACGAGCGTATCCCTATTTTGATCCCGAAAATTCTGGCCTTTTTCTTATCGCTCGCATCAGTTCAATTTTGTTCCTCCGTGCTCCCTCTTTGCCTACACTTTTGAACAAACTTTGGTTAATGGTTTAAAGTTTGACATTACATTTTAAATTCATTCTCATTTGAAGTTTAATTATCAACGAAATTGGGTCAGCGATTCATCCACAATTACCAAGAAACGACATATAAATAAGGCGGAAGACTTCAACGGTCCAAAGTTGTATATATATATATATATTCCTTTCTTTAAAAAGGAAAAAAGCGAGAAATAAATGCAATTCACTACTGAAAAAAGCGTTACCGACTTTCCACGTCGTTTAAGTTGGAAATGTGGAAAATGTGGAAAATGTAGGAAAAAAAAGGACTCGAATTTTCGTAATAGACACTCCATTTATGGAAAAAACTCTGGTCTTTTTAGATGTGTAGGATTTGCGTGTGAAGGGTGACTTTACTATATGTAGCAATGAAGTATGCAATGCTAGCCGGCGAAGTACCCTAGCAAAAACTATCCAAATCATACATAGCTTTAGCAAGATTCTTCACTTTTAGACAACTCGATTGTCTTACTATTTAAAGCTATATCTTGCAAATAATATTCATAAGCAAATATCTTAACGGCGAAAAAGGAAAAGTTATACTCTTAACTTGGAAAATATTTTAAATTCTCCAGGGAGTTGAACAAAATTTCGACAATTCTTCAAATTACTTCACACCAGATGATATATTCGAAGGGCTAAAAGAATCTAAAGACGTAAATTTTTTTTTTTGTGGGCACAGTATACTCACGTCATCAATTAAGGAATGCGTTTTAAAATTTTTATGCTTTTAAATACATTTTTTACAACCCTATAAGACAAATAAAAAATAAATAAAAACACTATAGCGAGCAACGGCCCTATACCACCCCACCGTTATTCATATAACGACCTTTCAATCCAAGGCCTTATATGACAAGTAGTCAAAAAAGTGATCCGATCCGATTTTTAAAAGCTTTTGCCCTTAAGCCAGTTCATCGAAATATCTCAAAAATTACGAGCAGAACCCGTTTCTGAATCGATCGATGCCATAAAAAGTCGATCTAACTCAGATCTTTCTGGTCGTTGCTTAAATCTGCAGAAACTTTATATACCGGTTTACTACAAGTGCTGTAGGGTACAAACAAAGGCATTAAATAAATAGTTATGGCGAGACGATAAAGTCGACTGAATATGTTGATCTTATCACGCACTTTTTGCTGTGCGTTGTCAAGGCAATTATTACTCGATTACGAATATAAGAAATTGTAATGTTTTAGTTTTTGTGATCTTAACTTGCTTATTACTTTTATACACAAATAACTAGTAAAAGATGAACCTTTAAAGCTTTGCAGCTACAATAAAGCGACAGAAAAAGCGTTTTCCCTTCGGTATAACCCGCCTGTTTGCCTTACGTATTTAGCACAATAAATCATTGATCGTGTACTTATTTGAACTATTCTCCAGAATTGTTCGCGTTTCGAAAAGCAAACAGTTGCCTGCAACTAAAACGATTCAAATTAACTCTAACACCTTTGAGTGTCTCTAATATTTTTGATTTTCTCTTAGGATTCTTGTCTTTTAACAATTACGTTTTCCTATTAGAAATACGCAACAGCTTTTTTTTCAAAAAACAATCATTGAAACAATTCTGCGAGAATTATTATTACAATTCAGGAAAATTGATTAACATTTATTAATATTTTAATCCAATGGTATAATTAGTTTTCTTTTATAACAAATTTTTAATATAAAGGGCTGGGGCTAAATAAACGATCTTTTTACTTTAGAGTCTGACTCATATGCTTCTTAAAGTTTCACTATGTAATAATAATATTTTTATTTTGCGGAGAATATACACATACGCAGAGATGAAGAGAACGGTCGAGTTATTAGGACATGGACATAAGAATACGAATGGAAAGAATTTAAATGCAAAAAAAAATAAAAGAAAATTTCTTTAAAAATACAACAAAACGAAATTCTCGCTTAAATTTATTTCATTCTACTCACATTGATAGATGTTTCAGCAATTGATTTTTAATAAGCGAAACCATTTTTCATGTACAAAATGAAATTCCAATATTTTACGTTAACTAATAATAGAGATTGACAAATGAAATCATTTGATTTTAAATGCGGAAAGTGAACTTTTCATTAATTTTTTTCTTATTAAAAATATGGATTGAATTCTTTTATTTTTATTTTACTTAATTTTTTTTTATCCTTCTCACTTGTTTAAACCACAAAGAACTTGTGAATCGAGATACACGCATACATTCGCATCCATTGCGAATTTTTGCACTTATTTAATTTTTTGTTTAGTCGAATGCACATAAATTTTGCTAAATTTCACGTAACTATTTCTCAATTCTTTTCAATATATTCCCTTTTATGCTTTAGTATTTATTTTATATTTCTTTTATTTTTGTGGGGAAGAACACAGTGTAGAGTTTTGCAAATTATTTTACAATCTACAACCTTTCTCTTCAAATATTAAGCGATAATTGTTAATTTTTCTCTCAAATTCAAAGTTGACGTACGTTATGTTGCCACATAATTTTCAATACAAAATCCCAAATAAATATTCGAAACTTGTACAATAGAGTGAGAAAGCGAGACTTTGTTCGTTATTCTGTCGTGTAAGTTCAATTTACAAGTCTAGCGCTGATAACTTTAGCCGTCTTCGAATGTGAAGCAATTTACTTTTAGTATTTGCAATAGAAAAGCAACGAGCCTAACGTTGCATTGGCTGCCTCAGTCTGATGTAGTTAAAGATCTAAGAAACAGAATATATACTTCTTAAATAGCCGTAAATGACCTCAACGAAAAAGCTAAGCTCCTTCGGAAAAAGTTATGAATCTATTACAGTTTAAGATTACCTAAAGGTAGGTTACTTCAAGGTTTAATACCAAAAAAAAAGTCTAATAAATTTTTCTTAGACTTGGCAACCCTTTAATAGTAAAGAGAGTACGTTTGTTCTCGTGTCAAGCAGTTTTTAATCTAGATATCTTTTTAATAATACAAAATTTTCGATACAAAAATATCGTTCAAGAAACCATCAAAAAATTCGGCAAAACCAATATAAAAGGTAAACAAAGTATATTCTCAACTTCAATAAAAAAAGGGGAAATATGTCCCAACTAGCGAACGGTCTAGTGGAACGTGTAATAGAAATAACAGGAACAACTGAGGCTGAGGCAAAACATTTATTGGCAGCTTGTAACAATGATGCAGAATCTGCAGTGGCATTATTTTTCGAAGGAGGCGGCGGTAACGGTGAAAATGTTGAAGCGATAAGTAACAATAGTGTGTCAGAGTCGGCACCAAGTTTGCCTGTTTTGAGTGAGGCAGTGCGTGCACCTATAGCTCCTATACGGGAGCAATTGATTGGGCCAGAAGACGATAACTTTTATACGGCTGCACCTCCGACTGCCAGCAGCACGGGCCATCGTTCAGTTAGAGATAAGCCTCGAGTTAAGGTATGCCCATTAAGAGATTTCGCTCGTGAAGGCGCTTTAATGGAGGAGCAACTTCAAGCAGATAGCGATTATTTGGCCATGGAGGGTCTTTATGAAACGACGGCCACGCCTAGTCGCCCCGTCCGACGAGAACGTGTTGCTATGGTAACTGCACTTCAAAGACATGAACCCAAGCGCAAGCGTTTGGAAGATTTGTTTCGTCCCCCCACAGATATAGCATTTGCTGGACCATTCCAAGCGGCTCGTTCACGTGCCGAGGCATTAAAACAATGGTTACTGGTTAATGTTCAAAGTGATAGTTTCGAATCCCAATTATTAAATCGTGATGTGTGGAATGACAAATTATTGCGGGACCTAATGAAACGTCAATTTCTATTGTGGCAAGTGAGTGCAGGGTATTCGGTAACATTTGTCTTTGTTTTTTTGCAAAATAACGAGAATGTTTTTCTAGGTTGATTCTGAATCTTCCGAAGGACGCCGTTTTGTAACATTTTATCATTGCCCTAAACTTCCCTATTTGTGTGTTATTGATCCGCGTACGGGCGAGGAAATGTGGAAGAGCGTCAATCCAAAGCAGGAAAATGTATTAGTAGATCTTCAGCATTTTCTAAAGGAGCACAAAGACTTTAGTCATGAGTTGACATCAGTCGATGAATCGGGGCCCTCTACATCAAATAGACGTACTAATGCTACCATATCTTTAGACAGCGATGAAGAGTTTACTCATAAAAGCCATTATGATGAAGATAGTAATGTTAAGAAACGTAGTAAATTAATGGAGCTTACCGAAGAAGAGCAAATAGCTCTAGCTATACGTAACTCCATGCGTGAAAATGGTATTAATGGTGATGGTAATACAGCTACTCAAAGAGAAAAATCTGATAATCGAGAAGAAGAACTTGAAAATTATTGTGGCAGTGTTGAAGAATTTAAAGAGGATGATACAAAAAGTGTGTGTGAAAGTATGTCATATGAGCAACAATTGGGAAAATCTAGTGACGAGCTCACCATGTTAAAGTTAAGACTTCTAAATGCTACCGGTAGCGATGAAGTTGTTCAATTGCGTTGGCCATCTGATACATTGGTTAAAGTATTACGTAGCTACATACAGCAAGTTCATCCTCACATACCGAAAACTGGTTATAAATTAATATGTGCATTTCCACGTAAAACTCTGGAGAAGACTCATGATGACTGCTCTCTGAAAGAGATTGGCTTGCATCCTTCTGCAAATCTGCATATAACTTTGGATGATTGAGGAGAAATTCGCCAAACCTACTTATATTGCAAAACGAATAATGTTCCAGCTTCTCTCCTCCGGTATTAGTTTTGTGTGAATCTCTTTTTGTATTGCATCACTCTATGATCATATTGATTTTTGAAAGTATGGTTTTCAAATGTTTTTCTTTTTGCGTTTTTTTAAGTCCATATTTGAAAAACAAATTAAAAAGAATATACTATGAAAACATCTCATTTTTTTTAAATAAAATTAGCAGCGTTTAAGGTAAAAAGGAATAGAAGGAAAAGAAAAGGCAGAGAGTAGTAAAAAGGAGTCTGGACATGGGAACACAAGTTATACATTTTCGATGTGATTAACTGGTGACATGTACTAACCAGTTAGCTGTGTATGATATATGAGTATATATATATATATATATATATATATGTATACATATATATGTCATGATCTGTTCATCCGTCCTTGTTGGAATTTTTCATCATGGATGTGTATTTGCATTGTCATCTCCTCAAATCGTTTCATCGCTGAAGACGTCGTCGCAATTAATTGGTTAAAACTATAGTTGTCGAAGACCAGATTTTACTTGAATTAATTTTCACATGTAAATATCTTGCTGTTCGAGCCCCTATAAGCAGTTTATAAATACACCTATATAATATTGTAATTACCTTAGAATGAGGTTATATTCCTAACCTTTGGCTCCTTTCAGTTATTTCCAGTTAGAAGTATATGCAATACAAATCTCAGCAAGTTGATGTTGTGTCTACTCCCGCTGTTAAGAAGCCTGCTTCTCTGAAGAAGGCAAGCCGTTTGCTAATGGCAAACGTTTATATGTATAGTCGTTAGTATTGAAGAAAACTTCGAATTGTCTTTTTTTTTTATAACAAGTTAAATTATAATATATTTATATTTGTCATTTTACATTTTTACATGATGAAATTAAATTTAAAATTTATACCTGCAATTATATACTAAATCTTATACACTATTCTGTTATCCGCTCCTTGCCTTCTGTTATGCCTCCTTGTCAATAAATAGAACGAAGATTCATGAAATAAATGTACTTACTGTTAATTTCTTACAATATCTTTATATATCTTAAATTTATTTAACACAACAATAATAATCTTTAATACAGTACGAAATTTTATTTTTTGGCCTTTTTTGTTTGATACACTTTCTTGCAATACCTTTATATATCTTAAATTGATTCAACAAAATAGTAATTTTTAATACAATATAAAATTTTATTTGGTATTTTCCTTTTTTATTTACAACATATTTTTTTGGTAACGGTGCACTTGATTTCAATTTTTCAGCAAGCTCTTTGTGCACTTATAAAATGGCTTTTATAATTCCGTGAAAGCCGTTAGCTGGTTTTTTCCTGTACAAAGGTTTATAAAAACAATAACCATATATTGAGAATCGAGAGAGCACTGAGTTGCTTTCAATAAATTGCAACGCTTCGAAAGCTGTCAAATCGGTTAAATGAGAAATTACAACGTAAAATTTTCTGGTAACATCTGTCGATACACATTTCCTCACAAAGTCGTTAAATGAGAAATTTGCTAACGGAGTCTGTTAAAGTGGTACAAATCCCAGCTTAGATGATTTAGACATTTCCTTACAAAGTCTGTTAAATTAAAAATTTCCTGCTAAAGTGATTGATATTTCCTCCCGGAATCTGTTAATGGAGGAATTTCTCACAGAGGCTGTTAAAGTGGTACAAATCCCCGCTTACTTAGTAATTATACTTATTTATAACAATTAGCACAATTACATATATATATATATATATTATATATATTATATATTATATAACAATTATAATAATATTTACAATAATAATGTATATATAAGGTTTTTTTTAATAAGAATACTGGTATAAAGCTATTACACTGTGATACGTTTAAACAGCACTAAATACAACAGCATATATATACTTATTTTGAAGAGGAGCGTACCTGTTGATAAGAGAAGCATTTATATTTCCAAGAGCAGCGTCGGACTTTGCACTACGAAGATGAGGACAGTTTGATCTTCCTCGATCTTCCTAGCGCTGCTGTTGCTGTATTCGCATCCAACAACTCTGTCCTCTGATTGGTTAATGCGGTCATTCTACATGTATGCAATTCATCGAAGCGCATCTGCACTAGTTTATCCCGGCCGCTTAGCTTCTTTCAGCACTTTCAGCGCGCAGATTTCTACCTCTTGCATCTCTTCTATCTCCTGTGTTAGTTCTTCTACATTAAAAAAAACTTAAAAAAAACACAATAAGAAACGTTCAAAATTACAATAAAAATGTTAAAAAAATGTACAGTAAATATGTTAAAAATTTAGTTGAAACGCTTCCCTTAATAAATTTCTTTTGGTTTTTGCTTTGGTTTGTCACGAAAAAACCGTTAGCTGTTTTTTTTCCTAGCGTGTTGGAAAAAAGTACCATATGTTAAGAATAGAGTTGCCTGCAATATGTGGCAACCACGTCAAATGTGCTCATGGTTTTCTGTTATAAGTTTCTATAAGTTATCCATTAAAAAGAACTCTGTTAATATCGCGAACTGCAAATGCAGCGGACAACAACAACAACGATAATAAGCGTTCAAGATTAGATTCAGAGTCATCATCCGATGTCTATCCTACCTGCATAATACCTTCATGATCTTATCCGTTAACATTAAAAAAAATAGTATGCATACCAAATACGACAACGAATTGGAAACGAGCAACATCAATGCAATGGAGTATTGAATTAAAGTGTGTGTATGTAAAGTATTTACACGTTTCGGCCTACTATAGTGAATTCCTAATTATTAATCTTGTAAAAATATAGAATTTCGTTAAATATGGACATACAAAGTATCCATTGGTTCTCCGTATTTAAACATGGTTGCATCTCGATCATCACTCGCCGATGATAACACAAATATTGTGAATGATGGATGATAATGAAAACTCCTGCTGCCACTTTTCGCGCAATTACGGCAGTGCAATTTTTGTTGCTAGGTGAAGGTGAAACATCTTATTGTGGCCGCCAAGCTAACAATTTTTTCTCTATTTTTTCGCTGATATGTCAATTTGTAAAATTTACTAGCATGTTCATAAGCATAGAAAATACTTCCATTGTTGATCAACAAATTGACAATTTTGTGTAATACTTCATGCGCCGGTTTATAGCCATCGACATCGAGATAATTCGATTCGAATATGTTACACCACGGATTAAAAAATAAATAAATACATCATTTTTCGATACACGATTAGGAATTAAGTCAGTTATTTGATATAGATCTTTCAAACGCACCGATAACACCCAGAATGGCATCGACTGGGCACATCTTTACTGAATTAAACCATGCTCTGTCAATTGCAAGATAATGGACGGAAAGAAATTATTAAAATCTTTACTAATATTAAATATTAGAATAAGTTAAATTTAAAATTACAACAAAGAAACAAGTAAGAACATCATAGCCGGGCAAGGCCGAGCGTTAAATACCCTACACCACATTGTCTAACACAATTTTGGTTTTTATTATAAAACACAAAAATTATATATATTATATATATAAACGCAGGTTTCTCAAGTGCGTATTTATGAGGAAGCTACCCAAAAGACAATCTAATGTAGTACAAGTTTAATCCTTACACAGGTCTTGTGGTTTTGCATTATCATGTATCTAAAGGTCTCGAATGTTCTCTCTATTTCTCTATTTACGGATGTTGTCATGCTTGGATATTGACCGCTAGCACATTGAATCGTTAACGGCTTTTATACATGTTCGATCATACGATTTGGTACCTAAGATAGCATTAATAACAAGATATGTAAGTGAGTGTTGAGATTATAACACAGGTATATATAACGGGACCGCGATGGCGATCGCGACTATAAAAGACCGTGTCGCGATTTTACGGATAAGTCGCCATTCCTGAATAACCCGAACGGACTACTAAACTGTACGGATAGGAGATGGCTGGGTCAGCTAAGTCGCCATCCCTGAATAACAGAGGGACACTCTCTTCAGCGCGGTTAGGGGCAATAAAAACAAATAGAATGTAGGTAGGAACGGACAAATTGTCCTAAAGGCCGACGTTGGCTGCTATAACACCAGCGGCGTATTTTTTTGCAGAATCTCGCGGTTCGGATAAAACGTGGGAAATAATCTCTCGAGACGGACAAAAACGTGGAAAGTTTCGAACAAGAGTCGGGTCGCGAACACCACGCCGGTTTTTTCCCAACCGCCTATTGAAACTCGCTGTAAATTCCTCGTAAATTATAAATATATAAGAACGAAAATCCGAAGTTCCGAGAGTTTTTTTTTTATATAAATTTTCTTGGAAGGGGCCCTCCAGGGTAACCCCGAATATACCCCGAAAAGAACACTCGTTACAAAGCAATTTAGGTCGAGCAATTACGAACTGCTATGGTGTGTTGATTAAATATTGCTTTTCGGAGAGAAAAAGTACGTTTTAAGCACAGCGTTGACTTGAAAAGTGTTTCGATAATTCTTCTCCGTCAAAAGTAACAATTTGTCGGCGGTTTTAAGCGCAATTATACAAACGCTAGTGATGCTGAGCCTAGTGGAAGTAAAAGAAATCTTGAGAAATCTGAGCCTAGTGGAAGTAAAAGAAATCTTGAGAATTATCCTCGATAATCGAAAAGTGAGGTTGCAGAAACAAACAAAAACATTGTCGTCGGACTAGTCCAACCATTCAGTACCCTACATCACTTCGCCTAATGCAGTTATTCGCTTGTCTTGGTCATAACATGTTATTTTCAGGGAACGTCGCACTTTTTGTTGGAGTATGCCCAAAACATCATTTGATCCAAATTTAGCAAATTTAATTCACTTCCCAGAGATGGTATTTTTTTACGGTTTCCATAGAAAACATGAAATTACATTTTCTCTCCATATAAGGGGTTGTTGTTCATGGTATATTAGAGTTTAAGACAAAGACGTAAGTGATCCAAATTCACTGCTGTTAATTTTTTTGGTTATTTTGCTACTATTAATAATATTCTGAAAGTCTTTCGTTGTGTCCAACCTTACGTAAGCTTTAAATTAATATATGAAGCTCTTGATAACGTAAATAATCCCTACTAGTTATGTTTTTTTTTAAGCATAAATGCTTAGACCAAACCAAACCTTCTTAACAATATTATAAATCACAAGCATTTTATTCGTTAATCTTTACATCTCGTTATGAATTCAATATTAAACACAAACTAAAAAATGTATACAGATATTGTTTATTTTAAAAAATATTTAAACTGATTTTGGTTTTACTTTTTATAATTATGTAATATTTCAGCCCTAAGAAATACTTCAAAATACTACTAGAATTAAGAAAACTATAATAATATATGATAATATAATTACCATTATAATTAAGAAAAAAATAATTTGATGCTCTCAAATAGCTAATCACTTTCGTAGAGTACTTCTTTACGCTTAGGAGTATCTTGATGATTACTAAGTAACAAGATAATGTAAAAATATATATTTTCTCTTTATATATGTATATGTTTGATTTCTTTTATATCTTTTCTTGTTTAGACTTAAGTTTATACTTAAATGCTAATAGTTAAGTTTCCTATTTCGGATCAGTATGGAATTTTATAATATGTCTGATAAACAAAAATTTGTAGGTAAATCGCTGGATGGTATTTGTTTGAGCACATCGACAAATGTTGAATATGGTGGATAAACATACTCGGAAGACACTCTAATGTTGTGTAGTTTTTAGATATCAGATACCACAGTCTACAATTATATTTCAAAAAAAAAATTCAAAGTAACCAAGCTAACGCAACCCGCCGTCCAGAGCAGCACAAAAAATAGCCAATAGTTGCTACGAAAAGGGCTTTCAAACTGATTAACCACACCACTGCCTAAAAGTTCGCGGCAAGTAGTACGAGCATAATATACCAGTGCTACAGGTATAACGTACTGTATCCCAGCGCCCGCATAACTTCCGGTAAAGGCCACTAAACTCGTTAGACTTTCGGTGAAATAGGTAATGACAAATGGGGGCAAAACGGCCAATAAAGGGAAAAATATACGCCTTACAAATAAGTTATATGATTCAAAATGCGTCATATCTAAAAAGAGGGTTTGTAAATTATTGCGCAATGTTATGGCTATAATTGGAAAACTTGCTGATAGTGTACAGATGGGAAAGAGGGCCAAAAAATAATCAATGCCTACTAAGAGCTTCGCTCTGAAGCTGTAATCATCAATTTGAGCGGGTATAAAATTTAAAGTGTACAGATCTTGAATGCGTTCAAAAGCAAATATACCCGTCATAGCGAGTAGTATATAAAAGATACAAATTAATATATAATCGGCACACAATATCTTACTAATTGCATGTTTATTTCTTATCGGAGCTAATAGGCTTGGCAATGAATGATGACACATAAAGGAATATACGCAAGCTCCAAATAACGCGGGTATACCAAAAACATTTACGGTTGGTGGGTGACCTTTGGCACCTTCGGTTATTAACAGTTTGACAGCAATCGAGATCATGAATATAAATGCTGAAAAAAATAAAAATAAAAAATGTCAACAGAATTATTACCATTGCCTGTCTTCTTTTTCATTTGGCATACCACACCAACGGAAGAGTGCTGTTACTATTTGTAAATATTTTGTTTTTTGTACGCTGAAAACAGCAAACGGCCCGAAAATAATTATAAAGCCAGTTAGGAATAGACGATAAACGTTTAAACGAGTTAGTGTATGCGCTTGCCAACACAACGTTACAGCATCATTGTCTGTCTCATTATTACTTAGCGTTAAATTTAAAGAATCCATAGTCGAATCGAATATAGTAAAGTTTGCCAAATCTGTAGCATTTACATGGTCGCTGAACATGGATTGAATTTTATTTTATTTTAACGCTTTGGTTTTAACTGGGCTTACCAAAATAAATCACGTAAACTTTTCGCTATCGCCGCCGAATAAATGCTTAAGTCGCCGTACAAGTAAATGCAAATGCATAAGTAGAATAAAATGCGACCGACATCGTTAAAGAATAATGTAGCCATTTCACCTAATTCGAACTTTTCGTCCAATCTGTAATACATCAACGTTGAATGTTGCGCATACACTGGCATACGGTCCAGCCGTTTTGAAATTTTAATCCGAGGCAGAAGTGTAGCACATGGATCATCTGTCTCCCTCTCCGCAGCATGCTCCTCCATTCCTGAAGAAATCTCCACATTCTCAACATCGTCGTCGTCATTAACATGACTATTTTCAAACTGTAAAATGTATGGAAAAATTGCAATATTTCGTGTTGAAGAAGTAAAAAGAACAATGGTTGTTGTCATCATTTAAAAGGATATGGGGTGCCTACATCGTAACTACGTTTAAGAACCTGAAAACTCTGCCACGTTTTTACAGCATTAGCAGCAGCCATAGCTTCAATAACAAACGTCACCGTCATATGCGAAATAAGTGCCAAATATAAAATGACATTAACACTAAGCAACCATCCAGCCTTAGCAAAAGTAGCTGGCAAAGTTAACGCGCCAGTGCCAACAATTAAATTGAAAATAAAGATGAAGCCAATCTATGCGAAGCATAAGTACGGTGAAGACAGAATTAATTTTTAATTCGATATATTTACCCATTTTGAATAAGAGCCAGTTTGATTTGCTGAAGTGTTACCTCCAAACTCAATACGATTTCTATCCGACATTTTACGATAGAGCTCTGAGAAAGTATGTATAACGTCGAGCCTCAAAAGATCCCTATCAATACTGTTTCACTTACGGAAAAACGCACGTAGAGACTAATTCAGATTTATCCAATGCATTCTTTACTGCGTGTTACTTTATACTCAACGTTGGTCTTCGAAGTCTAAGGCAGTGTTTTCACTTTTTATCTCCAATTGTTATCAATTTATATTTGCATTGTACGATTAGAGGGGTTAGGGAATATTATATTTTGCAGCAGCTGGCAAGCAGCGTTGTCGAATTGGATATAATAGTTTAGTTTGCCTTCATCATCATATTGCAGTACTTGCTGTACTTGCAGTACTTTGATTCACAAATGCCCAACTTTAAAATCCTCAACCTAAAATTAAACAGTTTTCCAAATATAGTTGGATTTGGACATAATCTTATAAAAACTGATACTAATTTTAGACAATTAAAGGACCTAATAATAAGAACGATATGAAAACAGTTTTCAAGTACTACTTGATATAGATATGTAAACCAAATTCGGCGCTTCCAAAAGAGACGTGAACAAAATATAAATAGCGATATTTAAATTGTGCATGGATATATAACGGTACATACATGATATGAGAGAAGCGGAAGAACTTCCACTAATATACGGACAGACATATTTGGCAGTATTCACTATATCTTTGACGAATCCATTTAAAAGTCTTGGTATTTGTTTATCAATTTAGCATTTGTTAACAATAGTAGCCAATTTTATAGCAATCAGCCAAATTTTATAAATTTTTGGAGAATGTGAAAAATAAATAAAAATATCTTTATCATCGACTATTGATAATAATAATTCACAAAAAAAAAAAAACAATAATAAACCTCACAAATAATAATAAAAACAAACGTGACGGACGCAAAACTTGCGAAATGTGGAAACATTCATTAGCTTCAACAAACAAATTAATCGTTAAATTTATTAAGTCCCAGATAAAACACTGGAATGCTTAAAATTCTTCTATTTTTATAACCACCATTGAAGGATGGGGGTATACTCATTCCATGTCTATCCGTCCGCATGTCTGTGTAGTGTAGTGGGTGTTGACATTCTTCTAGTCGCGAAAATGAAGATATCCAGAAGATATCCTATCTTAGCCGCTGCCAAATTTGGAATGCACTAAAACGTGTCCTCTTATTAGTCTGTTTGCGCAACTTTGTAGTGTTTGTGATAACCATTTTTCCGTTAGCGAAAATGAAGATACCCCTACAACGCCGACATGCCTATACGACAAAAACTTTAATTTTGAAAATAGAAAAAATTAACAATTTTGTTCTTTTACTTCTTTTGCCTTTTCTTTGGGGTAAACCGTGATGTACGTAAAAGATTCCTTTCGACCGAATTTAATTTTCTTACTTGTTTTAAATTAATTTTCTCAATTTAATTTAATTTTCCCTTGTTGTTACAATGAATTTTTTGAATGCAATAAGCATTGCAAAAATTAAAGGTAATAGTTATATAATTATGCTTTGTTTTCACGAAAATACATCACTGTTTTGTTTGTGAGAAGCCACATGCACAGAAATTTCAAAAATTTGCGAAAAATTTGCATTCACGCACAAGGCAACGCAAGTTCAAATACATACGCCATTTTTAATTTAACAGTTCGTACGCCACGCTTAAGGCAAACATTGTATTGAACAGTCTCAGCTGGGGGGTGAGCAAGTATAAAAAGTTTAGTTTTCGTATTCAACCGTTTTTGCGAAACATCTAATTTTAAACTAGGTGATTACGCATTATATAGTTATATAAGCAGAATATTTGCGGATTATGAAGGCACTCGAATTGAGTGATGATAGTATAAAAAACAAAAGAAGCAATGAGACGTGTGAATATAAAGTGAGACATGAAAATATGTAAGAAATAGTTCATTTGTGAATAGATCTTCTAGGAATTGAAAATAAAATCTTTGTTATCCTAAAAATCACAAGGCAGTGGTACAACCTTAATCTTGGAAAGATTCGAAGAAAAATATAAAATAGCAAAAGAAGTCATTTTACTACTATCCAACACTATTTAAAATAATAGTAAATCGTCAAGAATTACTTGAACTTTCGCCGTATAGAGTGAAAACCCTTTAAAAATAAAAAAACAAAAAGAAATCGAAAACTAACAGGATTACTGGACTACTTATCGGAATGTTTATAATTAAATAATACTCACGAATCTCAAATATTGTTATTGTAGTAGTGAAATTTCGTTCCTACTTTCCCTATTGTTGACAAGTTCTCTTTTTCTCGCCTATAAATTGAATAAAACACGTAGCCGGTTTGCGGTTGTTGTTATTATTTATCAATAATATATTAGCAATAGTTTTTAAGAATTTTTTTTAATTGAATCATTATATAATGTCTAAGCCCATAACATTCGTTACTGGTAATGCAAAAAAATTAGAAGAGTTAATAGCAATATTAGGACCAAATTTTCCCCGTAAAATTGTTTCACAGAGGATTGACTTACCAGAATTACAAGGTGAGATTTTAGACATAGCTGTCAAGAAATGTAAAAAGGCAGCGTTGTGTGTCAACGGTCCTGTGTTAGTAGAAGATACATCTCTCTGTTTTAACGCTCTCAGGGGTTTGCCAGGTAATATTCATTTCCGATTTTTTTAATGCATTATTATACATTCTACAATTTAGGTCCGTATATTAAATGGTTTCTCGAAAAGTTGGAGCCCGAAGGTTTGCATAAACTTTTGTCCAGCTGGGATGATAAATCAGCTCAGGCTATTTGTACACTCGCCTTTGCAGAAAGTCAGCAATCGGAACCTCAGATTTTCCAAGGTATAACGGAGGGCGTTATTGTCGAGCCGCGTGGAAGCAGAGATTTCGGTTGGGATCCAATTTTCCAACCCATTGGCTACAATATGACTTACGCTGAAATGCCGAAAGAAGAGAAAAATAAAATTTCGCACCGCTTCAGGGCAGTAAATGCTTTTCAAAAGCATTTCATAGGCGATTAGTGTATAAGCTCAAAATGTATCGGCTGTTATTGATTATGTCCACTAAAAAGTATTTATTTAACATTTAGTAGTAAATATTAAAATTGATACGAGTTCTTATTTTGCATAAATTTGTCTAACAAAGGGGTATTTCTACAAATTTTTTTAAGTAAGGGTCAATGTTTGCGTGGGTACGTATGAATTTCTGCAAAGATTTTTTTTTATCTTCAATCGCACTTTCTTCCATCTTTTACTGCTGCAACAGGGCGTGCGCTCGTATATGCTTGTTCTGAGTTATGAGCACTCTTTTTATTCCAGAAACAGATAACCTGGAAAGCTATTAAAGCATTAGCAAAAGTTGAAGAACAGAATGTAATGATCATTATTGAGTCGCCTGTTTCCTCAATCGAGGTAAATATACGTGCCAAAGAGCCGCCAAGTAACATGAATACAGTCACAGCAGACAGTTGCCCAACGCAACGATTTTGATAAATAGTGTATGCCTGTGAAAGTTTACCGGCGAGCAAAATTGGTATGTTAAGGCTCTGCATTGTTGTCAATACATGCAAAGGCGTTTTGCCAGAACATAATGTGTAAGCAAAACCTCCATAAGCCATTGAGAATACGTAAGATAATATTGGATAGCACTGGTAATATAGGATTAATTCTGCTATGACAAGTGTTTGGAAAGCCAAGAAACTGGTGTCGCCCCAAGAACTGAACGGATAACCGTTAACGTAGCTATAGGCCATATGAGACGTAATGGCAATCAAATCCAATAAAACGGCAATAAAACTAACGCCCTCGGCACTTTTGCTTTTATATATTTTCATAATTTGCGGTACTTTAACCAGCAAAGAACCGGCAATGATTGCAAAGCCTAGTAGCTTACTTACTAGTGCTTTAAAGCAAGGTACTGAAATAAGAGAGTAAATGCAGTTTAAAAATAAGGCACCGCTTTAATGAAAATTAATTTAGTTTACCATCAGTGAAACGGTGTTCTAACAGATAAGTGTCATGACATTGTTCAGGTATGAAAAATAGTAATATCTGCTTTAGTTTTTCTTCCATACTTTGCTTTCCTAGCCTCAAATTTTCTTCTAGTTTTACCATTTTGAACACCAAGCGGAACAGTTTTTTCCTTTAATATATGCGATGGCTTGATTGCACCAGTGTGATTTTAGAAATTTTTTGCCTTTATTCTATTTTTTTTTTCGTATTTTTGTGCGTGAAACGTACACGTAATTTTTTATAACCAAAATATTAATAAATTTTTGATTTTTTTATCAATCAATTAAACATAAAATAACTTGACAACTTAATTATTTATCAGCAGAAGCGAACACAGTAAGCTTTGCTAAAAGAAGAAAGAGATAGATAGAGAGCAGATACTAGTGTTTTCGGTACAATTGAAATTATAATATTTTTGTGTTTTCATATGATTGCTTCCTTATTTTTGCATTTTTACATGCGAAATGATTGTAATTTACAAAAATCAAATTTAAAATAAAGAAAATTTTAATATAAGCACAAATTGCATTTTTCTTTTGATTTAAAATGAGTAAACCGTACTCTTCGGTGCAACTCTTTATTTATTGTTTGTGCTTTGGAAAGTAACACATTAATTTTGTGCGAATATATATTTTTAATATAGAACAATATCAGTATTCGTGTTATATTTTACAAAATTTTGTTGCGATTTTATAGGTTTTTTTTAATTTAACAAAACAAATTTTTAGAAAATGTCGAAAGAGCAGGCAGAGGAACAAATGAGAACGTCTCTTACAGAGCATAATGGTGAAATAATTCAGCAAAAACGGGTGGCGCTGATAACGGGCATTACAGGCCAAGTAGACGCCGTTTTCTTATTTCAATACGTTCTCTACTTCTCTTCTTCCATTGTACTTAGGACGGTTCATATTTAGCAGAGTTTCTGTTAAAAAAGGGCTATGAAGTGCATGGCATTATCAGGCGTGCCAGTACTTTTAATACTTCACGCATTGAGCATTTGTATGTCGACCGTAAAGCTCACACAGGTGGCCATATGAAACTTCACTACGGCGATATGACTGACAGCAGCAGTTTGGTGAAGATAATTAGCACTGTAAAACCTCAAGAAATTTATAATCTTGCGGCACAATCGCATGTGAAAGTTTCTTTTGATTTGAGTGAGTATACAGCCGAAGTAGATGCCGTGGGTACATTAAGAATTCTCGATGCTGTGCGTACATGTGATATGGAGAAAAGTGTAAAATTCTATCAAGCATCCACTTCGGCTGTATACTCACTCAAATCAAAAAAAAAAAAAAAAAAAAAAAAACCATTTTATCCAAGATCGCCATATGGTAATAAATATTTTCTTTGCAGGATAGGATTTATTTTCACATTTCTTTATTTTCAGCTTGTGCTAAAATGTACGGCTTCTGGATTGTTGTCAATTACCGAGAGGCTTACAACATGTTTGCTTGCAATGGAATTTTGTTTAATCACGAATCGCCGCGACGTGGTGAAAATTTTGTGACCCGCAAAATTACTCGTTCCGTAGCCAAGATTTATTTGAATCAATTGGAATGTTTTGAGTTGGGCAATCTCGACTCAAAACGTGATTGGGGTCATGCCATGGATTATGTAGAAGCCATGTGGATGATGTTGCAACGTGACACACCTTCCGATTATGTGATTGCTACGGGTGAGGTGCATAGTGTACGTGAATTCGTGGAGACCGCCTTCCGCTATATAGGCCGGCAGATTATATGGAAGGGTGAGGGGACCGACGAAGTTGGCGTTGAACAGGATACTGGCATAACTAGAGTTCGTATTAATGTCAAATATTTTCGGCCTACTGAAGTGGATTTTTTGTTGGGCGATGCTTCAAAAGCTAAACGTGAACTGAATTGGTCACCTAAGGTAACGTTTCACGAACTTGTCAATGACATGATGTCGGCTGATATAGAATTAATGAAGAAGAATCCAATAGCGTAAGCGAACTTGCAATTGTCAATGGCAATTTATTGTACGATCAAAGCACAAATATGCAACTTTTTATGCTGATAACTACTGTAGCATTCCCTTACATGGTCAATAGTATTTGGGGCGCCTTGGCAAAATGTCCGGCAGGGCTGCTCTTGCGATTAAAGTGCAAAATTACTGTGGTAAAGCCCCTCATTCTTTAGTTATAAGTAATGTAACTAAACGTACATGTACGTAGAACATATTTACATAAGAAAAATGTGCATTCTAGCTATAATATAATATTAAAATATTATTCTCTGTCTTGCAACATTCATGGCAAGAATAATGAACATATTAATACTTTTGCTGCTAATTATACGTACGAAAAACATATGTAAACAAAACCACAGGGAACCGTAAGAACTTGGTTTCCCATCGAGAAAATGATTTGAAGAGCGAATTTTTATATCAAAATAACTGCAAAAGAACCCAATGGTCCGATGGAGATCGGAACAAGTGTACTTCCTGTATATATCCTTTATACATTACAGTTGCTGCACGACAATTGTTTTTTATAAGAACAAGAATAATCCATAAAACATCTTTACTTTTGAAAATTGGTCAAATCAGATCTTCATTAAAGTAACTGGTAAAGTTGACTAATTTGGGCTATTTTAACGTAATTTTCGTTCAGTTCACTCAACTAACCATTTTACTTTTCTGATTAGAGTTAAATGAGTTAATCTTGTTCGTGTGCTATTACCAAACTTTTATGGTAATTCATAACCACTTTGAGATGGGTCAGATTCAATGGTTTGTCATTATTGACCTTTGATTCTTGGCGACAGCGTGGATCAAAGTTACCAATACGAAATTTGGCAACCCAAAACCGCTGCGTAGTTGCATTAGAATTAAATATACTATTTATGTTTCGCGCGGCCTGCGATCTCGTAATTCGATGTAAGAACTCATGCTTCATGACAGTACGAATTTCCGACCGATCCATTATCAAAAAAAATAGTCTTTAAAAAAAGGGAATATTTTTTTACAGCTTGCAATAATTTACCCATACAGATCACATTTGTAACTTCGTCGCAACAAAAACGGTACGGTAAAGTATTAAGTCATCGCCAACTAACAATTTGTCTAAATTGGCAAAGTTTTAAACTACAAGTTCCTCCTCGCCAATCAATGGACACCAAGAGACTATCACACATTCACGCATAAACTTTGAAAGTTGTTCATATTTTTCGTAACCTTCACTGACTTCGGCAAATCATACGTCTTTTATCTACATAAACAAAAACACGCACAGTGTATGCTACGAAGAGCATAGGAGAAAGTTGCCCTAAAGAATTTTTATAATATGTAAATGATGTAAGTGGAAGTGTAGTGTATGTGAGCGTGTAGGGTGTAATCTTACTTCGCCAGCCAGAACCACCCAACAATTTAGTTAACTGGCATTTGAATAACTAAAATAAACAATATGAATGTTTACAAAAGAAATCAGATAATTATTGATTATTTTCCAAGTTAATACTAATTAAGTTAATTATATCTTATTTAATTAACATTAACGTAAAACACACCCAAATTGAAAAATCGCCGAATGTACATTCGTGTTTATACAAAAAAACTATATATTATAGATTAAATATTACAATATTACAAATTTTTTTTTTTATTCTAAAAATACTAAACAATTAAAAGCTGCAGAAATGATGTGGACGGTTTGCTGATAAACTTATTGATGTCGATGTTTTATCCCATGAGGGTCTTTGGGTTTGAGTCTGCGTGGATTTTCATTATGAGTTCTGCTGTGTAGATCCACGCAGTTGTACGGGATTTTGTAATATCCAATAGGCCCCTTCATATTGGTTTGCAACGGTTCCGTAATGTTTTTAACAAATTTTTCAATCGTTTTTTTATTTCTTTTATGAACAAAGATTACAATTGCTTTTCATTTCATTTATTACCAAATTTTACAATTGTTTTTCACTTCTTTTATTAACAATTGATAAGAATTAATTTTAAAGTCTTTTCAAAGCAAAAATTTACTACTAGAAATTTAAAAAGATTTTTTTTTCTTTCCAAAAAAAAATTGTGAACGTCAAAAATTTTCTTTCCTTCCCAAATTCCAATGACTAAACACTTCAAACTCAAAATGAGAACTCCCCCATTGACAAAAAAAAATAAATAAAAAAAAAAAATCAATCGCCTACTCACTCTCCTACATACCCTGGCCAAAAATAAAACGTTTCCTTACTTTAAATCTGGTGTCCGATAAGCTCTTTCTTCCTTTGTTTTGATGAAAGTGGATTTACAGTGTTATATGCGAACCGTTCTGCTCTATTACTTTCTTCCACCTCTCAGGAAAACTCATTATGTCCTCTTACCAAAATTATCGAGACTTACATGCAAAATATTTTTCCAGGTGTTTTTCTATTTCGCTTTCGGTTTTGTAACTTCCCGGATAGAATCTTTTAACAAGAGAAGTAACTAATAATCGGATAGGGCAAGGTCTAGGGAGTAAGAAGAATGAGGTAGAACGTCCCACTCAAACTGTTAGATTTTCTTTCTGGCGGCCAGTGCGGTCTTCATCTTTAAAATCAAAATTGCCATCTTTAAATTTCTTAAACCAATTGCACAGTTCTAATAGTCATAGTATCACTCCCATAAACGGTCTCGTCTGCAATGTCCTTTACTTTACTGCCTTTTTTAAAGGAATGAAGCACAACAAGCCGGAAATACTTCTTTTGGCTATTCACATAAAAAGGATTTTAAAAGAAACTTTGTCACTATGGAAACATATTTTTGAAGAGCTTTGAGATGGGTCAAATACGCAACATAAACGAACAACAGATAAGTTCGCATGTTTACAAATATAGCCGTCTCGAGGTCATATATAACGTGAAGAGAAAAAAACTTATGGGACTCCCTTATATTTCCAGATACACATATTCGTATCTTTGAGCCTGATTTGTCTTCAATAGATTAAAGTAAATCAAAAATATCAGTTCACATGTTACTTAAAAAAACATAAATTGGGAAAAGTGATCCCATATCACTGCTTTCTTTTATTATCTATACGAATAACCAATTATCTTTCTTTGCTTAACTCTCTTATTAAAGCCAGCTATCATGGCATTTCTTTTAAATTCACCTATTTAAGTGTTCCTTCTGCTATTCAATGAAAACGTTGAATTATTATCGTATTCTTTACTTTTTGGTACTTACGTAGGCAAAAAACTTTCTTTAAAAGTTTAAAAAGTTGCTTTTTATTGCTTTTTTAATGGAATTTTTGCTGCGGTGATGGCAATACGTAAGTACCCCTTTTTACTTTTCATACGGTGCTTATGCGTACTTCTATTGCTTTCCTTAATTTTACCTTTCAATCATAAATTGCTTACTTACATTTATGATGGTTCTCTTATTTTTACTTCTTAAACGATATGGTAACACGACGAACGCGACTTTTTATGTTTATTGCTTTTATGTCCTTAAAATTGGCTCGTATTGCGTCAAACGCATAACTAATAATATGGTTACACTTAAAAATCTTACTAGTCTCCGTCATCATAGTGGTTATTTTCGATTTTATTGTTAAGTCGGAGCCTTGGTAACTCTATCAGGGAGTTGTGCTCGTGTATTCGTAATTCATGTCTTGAAAAGTTTATATTGTGATTTTATAAAAACTTCCACAGAATCGTTTATAAATTATCATTTTCCAATGAGCAATGACTGCTTACAAGATAAGGCTTCAGTTTCCTGTCTCACGGTTTCGTCTAGGATGTGTAAAACAATGGCATATTTGTCACGCCGGCCTAACCACTGAAGAAAAATCTGCGGAAACACCATCAAATATCAAAACCCGGTTGCAACAAAGGGTTCAGAAACTATTTCCAACATTAAACGATAATTTAGCATACGTGCATGTGGAACGGGATGGAGATATTGAAAAGACGCACTATGAACTTTTTGTCAGGCGTATTTTGGCCAATGTTGAGGAAGTTACTCATATGGATGAAGTTCGCAAGGCTCAGCAGAATGTAAGGCAAGTAAAGGTAATGATGATGTATTCTCTGTTTTTAGGATTAAATACTTTTAAGCTGTTTTTTTCTAACAAATAGAAAACTTTGCTTGAGAAAGCCAACCAGAAACGTTCTCTGATGAAGGAATTGGATAGTGTTAGAAATGATCTGAGTCATATCTACAGGGATATGAAGACTACAAATAACCGCTCGCATGATAAATATTTAGATTTAACCCGCCAAGAAATTGAAGTTAGTCAACCTGTTATTTGCTTAGCATTTTGACATGATATTGCTTGATATGCCTCTCTTTTTAGCTGTGCATGAAAGAAAAAAATTTATTAGAATCTATAACTAAAGTTGATAATGAGGAGCAGCATTTATTGAATTATGAATTAACAGCTGCTATAAATGAATCCTATGAGAAGGAAAAAATGCACGCTCATTTCATTAAAGTGTTAGGTTTACTGGGTGTCATTTTGTCATCCTTTTTGACGTTTTTGGCTGCTTTCGCAAGTCACATATACCAACAAAGGCGCTTCTATGCCTTACGCGAAGAGATGGAGTCATCATTGGTAAACAAGCTAACAGAACCTATGAAGACAGTTAAGGAAATGATAGAGAATTTAAATGGGGCAAACAAAGAAAAAGAATCGTGGGGTTCATATTTAAAGCGTCATACGCGTTGGACTTACAGTTGGGCGTTTAAATCCTCATGAACTTTTACGAATAAGTAGGGCGAGTATTAAAAAAGTTCGCATTTCGTAATGAATAAAACTAAAAATATGTGATTTTCTTAAAGAGTTTGAAGAGAAATATGTATTTATTACCATTACACAGAATTTTTGTTTGGCTGCTTAAGACGTACTTCAAGAATTTTTCCCTTTCACACTTCTTTTACGATTTAATTTTAAAATGTTTAAAAAAAGTAGTCCTCGTCAAAGGCGTCGCCAGAGAAAAATAGTTGATGCAGAAAAGTATTGTAGCCACAGCCACACCAAAAGTGCTACGTGTATATTTGTGGTAACTCCTGCGGTTGATGAAAAGGAAAATTGAAAACTAAACTGCCTGGTTTTTTGCGGCGTCTTCTTGCAGTGTGACAAGGCGATGGTTAACAAGGCTTGCCTTAATAAACATTAAGTTTCCTGTTTTTTTCCAAAAGGATTAATTTTTGACAACCAGTTGGACCCAGAACCCGAAGAAGATTCCCTGTAAAAGAAATCCCAAGCCTCTTAGAAATTTCTTTAAAGATGTTACATCAAAAATGATTTACAGTTTACTTAAGGCCTGTAAGTCAGCATCTGTTTCCACCGAAGTTTTTGCAATCTTTTCGCTAGAGTCATTCTCGCGCAGACCAGCCTTTTTTAGTTGCTCAATTAATTGCATTCGAAACTCATATTTATGAGGCTTCACTGGGTTCTCGTTACGTATCTGTTCTTGTAGTTTCTTTAAAGCTTCCTGATAGGTATAGCCGTACCATTCTATCTCTTCGGCAGTGTACTTTCAGGAGAATATACATATCAATTTATTTGAAAGCTCAGTAGAAAACTTTTTTTTATACATACACCCTCCAAATAACATTTATATTCCTTGAGTAAACGTCGTTGTTCCTCCACGTTATCAGCTCGAATAGGGCAACCGTTTAATAACTCTAGTAAAATTTTACGTTTTAACGTTAAAGCCAAAGTTGAGCGTAAATCGCACGCAGGATTCTACAATAAAATTTCAATCGTAAAAAAACTTTCTTATTTATGTTAAACGAACCTTTAGCAAGTAATGATCGAAACCGCGGCATTCATGTATTTTTTCGAGAGTAGTATTAGTGACGATTACAGCCATATACTCATTTAAAACTTCACTGTGTACCACTGAGCGCCTTAAGACAGGCACCCAAAAATGTGGTACACGGCGCTTCAATCTGTGACGTTTCTGGAAGCCCTTAATTACCGCTTCACCGCCCCAAATTCCCGTATTGCTTTCAGGTGGATCAATCAAAGGCAAAGGAATATTTTGGATAGGTTTAATTTCGCCCGTTATTTCATCGCGACTCCATTCACCTTCTTTGGGTATGTAATGCACGGCAGCCGGTTGAGTCTGTTTCCACTCCTTCCAGAATTTCTTATAAGCTTCGGGAAGGAGGGCGCCCAATCCTGAATCAAAACGCGTTACACGTTTAAAACCGTGCAACATTTGTGCACCCTTCAAATTAAAATGCGTTCATTACAACTTGCTTAGCCACGGAAAATTTTACAATTTTTCATTGATTATTGCGTCACATTTCTTATCCAAATTCTCTGTGGCGCGTTATTGCTTGTTTGCACTTACTTGCTTGGTAGCATGGGCCATTTTCCAAACGTATTTATTTCTCTCTCCGCTTCTATGTGGGCGTATGTTATAAGAAAAAAAAAATTTTAATTTTAGAAAAACCAATAACTAATTCGTATACTAAGCGATTTATGAATTTTGTTAATTTTTCTAAAATCTTGAAAAAAAAAGAATTTGGTGTTCAACACGTCTGTATTGCTTTTTTTTTTTTTGTCTAGATTTAGAGGGTTACCAGATATAGATATAGGTAGTGCGTGTTTTAAAACGTCTATAAAAAATAGTTGTTTACATATACGTTGTGTTTTTACGCTTATCTCAGCATTTCTGCAAATAATTATTATTAGAGAAACAGAAAATTGCCGAGGATTTAATTATAAAGAGTTTTGAAACTTTTATTACTTTTTCAATGTTTCGAAAATATATTCATTGGAACAATAAAACAATTTCTTGATTTATTTAGCGTGTGGCGCGGTCATAAAATGAGCATAAAACACAAATAATATGTAAAGAGCAGATTATTAATTGCAAGTTTTAGAATTAAAATAAACACTATATTTTAGTTATAAATTATTCCTATTTAAAGTGTTGTTACGAAACTCGCTTTTCTTGGATACAGTTCGTATCACTAGATCGTGGATATACTTTTTATGAGAAATGCACTTGCACGTTTTCACTACAAGATTCTTTTATTTACAATCAATTTGTTTAACGGTAGAACTATTTACATTTTACTTTGACAGTATTCTCGACTTCTCAACTCTAATATTCTTCTTCGACTCAAATGTTCTTGTGCGACTAACTCTGCCTTCCCCAAGTAGTCTATTTATATACATTTTTTCAAGCATAGCTTGTTCTTTAGTTTTTTTTTTTTTTTTTTTAGCTTCATTTTTAATCCGCTAACCTGCAGCTGCATGACGCGCCGCAAATGTGCCCTTTGTTTTTCCCTGTCTACGGAATTTATTTTTGTGGGAGAATTAATCAGCTGGAATGAACTGTATTTGGGGTTTCCTTAATAGTGTGGTAAGTATATTTCACTTCCATTTCCTTTATAGCAAGCGGTTTGTTATTCTCTTGTGATTATATAGGTAAGAATGGAATAAAACGGGAATGCCGCATTCGATGTAGGTCAGCTGACATATTTCGAATATGGAAATATGAAATTACCAATTGGCAACGCCAATGCGATCGAGTGAAGGCGTACTAATCGTGAGAAATTTTACATAGGGAGAGTAGGGTTCTACAAATAGACCCATGTAGTTCAAATTTCGTTCACTTAATTTTTATTTCAAATTACTACCATGAACAAATTTTTATTATAAAACATCAATAATTAGGTCTTTTTGTTAAATAAAGCTTTAAATTTCCTCAGAATCCTTATATGCGGTGGTATCCAAAAAGTAGACCTTCCAACTCCAAATCGTTGTGGTTGAACCAAAATTCCACCATGAATCATTGAAAATTATTCGTTTTGCCATATAAAAATTGAGGTTCTGAAATATGGTTATATGAGAGAGGTTTTAAAAAATTGCCACAGCAGAAGCAATGTTCTTAACCAGTTTAGAAAGTCGAAATACAGAAAACTGCAGCGGGTTTAGTTAAAGAAATTTTGAAAATCAATTTTTATTCCATATAACGACTTTCCAAAATAAATTGGTGTATTGGGAGCGGTTAAAAAAGGGGACCGATCCGAGCCACTTTCAATGGTGTGTCGTGCTTGGGTTGAAAGATGTGAGTGTACCAAATTCAATGAAAATATCTCAAAAGTTATGACTTGTATGTTCAACATACAAATACATGGAGATACATCAGATGGATAGCTTAGATCGGTGCAATAAATTGTGAGTCCATTTTAAGCTCTTCTGGGCATTACTTACATCCGTAAAACCTTGATATACCCTGTAACACAACTGGTTAAGGGCATAACAATGCTTATATATATATATAATACTTGTACAGGTATAAGTTTTGCATGACGAAGGATGACACATTCGACGGTAGTCATATAAGACTGCAAAAGCAAGAAAGTGTAGTTCACAAGGATACAACGGTGAACTGTTTTTATCTTAAAAATTATGGTAAGTACTTTGTTTAAAAACTTTTATTAGATGTATGTACATTTATATATATAACTTTTAATAGTAACATATAAAATTACAATAAAAATTTGTAAGCGATTTAATATTTTTGTTGTTGCCAACTCACATGCACAAATATTCATATTCACATTCATAGCGTTTAAAAGCAAGAAATTTATCTTAAAATTATTTTAATATTTTTTACTAGTATTACCATTACAGCTAAGTAGACGCATTGAAAAATTTTATTTAAAAAGAAATACTTAATGGTAGAAAAAAAAATTACATTTAAATCTACAAATTATTTGTTACAAAAATATCGTTTATTTATTTTTTTATTTATATCTATTTATATTATATATAAAAATGAGGCGATTTTCTTTTTCGTTAAAATTTTTTCCCACAGATTAAAAATAAAAAATTAGAGTTAAAAACCAAAGGTTTAAATGCAAAAAATTTTGGGCGTTTTTTAGTTATGAGAAGAATTTCTTTTCTTAAATTTTCTTATACACAGATAAACTTTTAGAGTAAATTTTAATTAAATAACAGACGTCATTAATATATAATACAAATTATTTATATATTTATTTATATATATGTAAGTAATTAACCTGATTGACATGGTGAGGTGAATACGAGGAAAGGAAGGAATCAGCATTTAGTTTTTACGTTTCACTAAAGCACTAATTGTTGTCCACTTTTTCCGCTACAGTCTTGAGTATTTGATAACCGGGATTTGAAAAGGCTTCAGGCCCTTTAGAGGATCCATTATTATTTAATAGCCTTTTCGGTGATTTTAGATTAACATAATTCTCGGCATCAGCAGTTAACTTAGTCTCGGCTACGTGATGTCGCGGCGAAGGCGTGGGGGTGTTGCGATGAGCTTGTTGCAGTAGCTGAGAAAATTTCGTCGATTGCTCAGGACTTGCTTGTGAATTGGCGTTAGCCAGCATAGGTATCTCCTCGGGTATAGGCTCCACGCCGTCCTTCTTGTTGCGTACCTTATTCAAATGACTTCTATCATCTAAGTTATTGGCAAGCGTAGGGGAATGCTGTTGCGCCGCTGTATCTGGGAAGGTGAAAGAAGTTGTTGTCATAAGAGGTTGGCGATTTAGTTTATCGTCATCGTTGTCATTAATCACTGCCGTTTCTTTTGGACGGGTCGGTGAAAATATGACTGAGCCGTTGTTGGGACTCATTTGCAGATAATCGTCTGAAGATAAGTCAATGCCTGCTCAACATTTTTAAAAGATGAATGATCGATGAATGTGCATACACATACATGTGTACATATGAGTGCATAGACATGGATGCAAGTGAGTTATAATATGGTGTAGATGAATGCATAGAATATGTAAATATAAAATTTATTTACAAGTTAGTTAAATTGTCGTTCGGCTGATGCGTCGTTTAGTGCAATACAAACAGTTAACGCAAACTGTTGGACTTACGTATTTCTGGCAATATATGGCCGTTAACATAACGTGGTGGAGGCGGAGCCATTTCATCTGGAGCGCCCATTAATGCTAAATAATCGGTTTGATTTCTTTTCATATATTCGCTATTCACTCTTAAATATGGTTCATTTAAGTCCACGTAGTGCTGAGATAATAAAAACGAGGCAAATTATATAAAACTTTACAAAGTCCGTACATGTGACACTTACATTAGTGACTTCCTCACCCAACATAGAAGCAAATTTTTCTTTCAATACATTAAACAACGGCCTTCGTTCGGGATTTGTGCTCCAACATTCCAACATTATATCATATAAATCATCATTTGCGTAAGGTGGCTTTTCCATGCGATAGCCATCTTTCAATTTCAAATATAAACTTTGGTTCGGATCCATACCCGGGTAGGGTACTTTTGCCAATGAAAAGAATTCCCATAACACAATACCAAACGACCAGACATCGGTATAAGTGCTAAATATATGATCGCTCAACGATTCTAAAGCTAACCACTTAATTGGCAGCGGTGCTTCGCCTTGTTTCTTATAGTTATCGCTTTTATACATCGAACGCGCCAAACCGAAATCACAAATTTTCACTATATTATCTTCGCATAGTAAAATATTTCTGGCTGCCAGATCGCCATGCAACACTTTCTTGGAAGATAAGTATTCCATACCGCAAGCAACTTGAAATGCCCAACTTACTAAATCCGTAGTCGTTATGGACATCGCTTCCGTCGAGTCGGGTTTGTAATTGGAACGCCATGCTGGCTGTACTGAATTATTCGACATGATGTTGTTATCGTCATCTAAAAGAATAAAAACATTTTTAAATGTGAGAAAATTTCTATCAGCAAACACAGCTTCAATAAAATTTCACATGAGTTTACCTTCGTACTTAGCAACTTTTCCTTGTAAGCGGTAGTTAAAAAAAAAGATTTTATGTGACATTCTTTCAATACTCTTCTATATAAAGTTAAATCACTAACTCTTGTACTACAGTTTTTTTTTTATACACTAAACTCATACAGTACAATAATCCTTTGTGTCCCGCTTGTGATAAAGCTTGGCTGATATATGCAACTTACAGATAGGGCCATCTTATATTATCCCAATCAATTCAGAATCACTTTCCGAATCGACCCAAGCTTGTCTGTCCATGCATTTTTGTGTTTAACCAAAATATGACAATTTTTCAGATATTTGAACGAAACGTGTTTTCCTGCAAATACGTATCCTATCGTAAATCAGATCAAAACTGCATCAGATCACTCCCCATTTAACGTGACAGAAAATAGCAATTTTCCCAACTCCCTAACAAAACCATTGCTGAGCAAAAGTGTATCGGCATTTTAAATTAATGTGAACAATTTTGAACGAATAGGGTACGTTTTTGAATACTGCATCCTCGTATTGGAAAAAGTGTTTAATTTTCAACGTCAACTCATGAAAATGAATGAATAATTAAATTAGACAAAGTGGTGCAGTGTATTTAATAGTTGGTGTTGGCCGACTGTAGTGTCTTTAAGTGTTTATAAATGTTGTCTTTATCTAATTATTCGTCTGTTCTATTGGTTTCAATTATGAGCGATGTGAGGTCATGTTACGCCAACATTTTTCCAACATCATCGTATGCGAAGCATAGTGAAGAATATTGTGAGAAATTAAATTTAACTTAACTTGACTTTTTTGAAGCATTTTGTTTGCGTTGTCTTTGGATATATAAGGAACAAAAAAGTACGCGGAAATAAGTGTAAGTCTGCCAAAAATGTAAGGCCAAAAATTACTGGAAGTAGCATAACATAAACATAAACTCAAAACAAGTAAGAACATTATAGTCAGACAATGCCGACTTGCACCATTTTGCCTAATTTAATTATTCATTCATTTTTACGATAGTCCGTCAAAAGCTACGCTTTATTTTTTTGTCAAGGCATGCTCTTCATAAAGGTGCGTAGACTGTAATATACCCAAAACAAAACAGGGTGTAATTCAAACTCAGCAAACTTAATTTACTTCCTAAAAGTTTTGCTATTTTTCAGTTTTCGTCATAAAAAACTAGAAAAAATACTTTTCATGAAAGTTAGGGTCTAAAAAACGGAGCTATATGATCCAAATTTCTTAACATTAATTTCTTTGCTAACTTGCTATTGTGAACCAATTTTCATCATAAAATACTAAAAATTGAACCTTTCTGTGAAGGGCTTACTATTCTTGAGAAATCTTACATGGGAAGAGAGTGGGGTTCTACAAATAGACCCATGTAAGCCAAATTTGGTCCACTTAATGTTTATGTCGAATTACTATCATGAACAAATTTTTGTCTTAAAATATTAACAATTAGGCCTTTTTGGCATGTAAAGGTTTACATTTCCTGAGAATCCTTATATGTGGTGATGACCAACAAATAGACCTACGTAGTACAAATTCAGAAAGGTTGATTAACAAATTAACAAAGCTGTTATGAACCAATCTTTACCATGAAACGTTGAAAATCATATCTTTCCACCAAACAAAAAGATTTAGTTTTCGTAGGAACCCATCTACGGGAGAGATTGAAAAAATTGCCCCAGCCGAACTAAAGTTTTCGCACCAATTTAGAATGTCAAAATGCCATTTTCAATAGGGTTTGACGTTGGGCCAAAGCGCGTCAGTTTACGAAATATCATCAAAATATTTTAAAAATTGCAATCTGAATACAAAATATATGAATACAAAAATATATGGTTTACCGTTTAGCGTTCAGAATGGGCGGATTCAGTCTTTATATAGTAAATCTTTTGTAACCTTTTGCACAATAAATGCAATTGTAGCCATACAGACAGACAAACGAAGAAAGTATGTGGTTAACGTGACACCCAATCTTATATTTATCAAAATTGTATACGCAAGCACATTCGAAAATGTTCCCTAAGTTTGTTCGAGTGTTACAAACCCATGGGGAACTTAATACAAATCTAAATCGTAAGTGATATTTTTCGAAAGGGTACGAAATTTTAAGAGATCCTTCAATTATATAGCAAAGTTCTTTAAATGATCTTAAAAGAGAAAATTAAAAGTTTGTAAATTTACCTTCCGGAACGGTCGTCATTACTGTCTGCTCAGTGGCACAGGTATTCAATTGACCCTCATAGAGTTCGGATTGGGTGATGTAACCGGTTGAATTTGGACGGCCGGCTCGGGTGCCCGAACGTGGATCATTATCAGAGTTTCTGCGATTATTTATTGAATAATTGTTGTTCATATTGTTGATGTTATTCATGTGATTGATATATTGATGATTGGAGAATGGTAGGTTAGCATACCTCAAACCATCACTAAGTAACACAAATACCCAAAAAATTTTTGTTTCCAAGCAATTTTTTTTCAAAAGGATTGGTTGTTAGGTTATTTGATTGATTGTTAAACCGAGTAACCATAGAGCATCATAATCAGAATGGATTGGAGTGGATGGATGTTGTTTTTGTTTGTGTCAGTGAAATCATACATCACCATATTACATAATACATACATCACGCCCAAAATATATTCAAGTTAAGAATTTAGTTAACGACACATAAAACATAAAAGAGTTTAAAGGGAAAGGTAAGAAAATAGACAGAAAGTGAAATGTTAGTGTATAAAGGGTTTTTTTTTTTTTTTAGAATAACATATGCATTAAACAAAAGATTTGTTGAATGTGATTGGAAACAAATCAAAGGAGAAAACAAAAAAATGAAATAAAATTACTATTAAATTTATGTGAACAATAAAAGCACAATACAGAAACAAAACGTAACATAATAATAGTAAAAGATATTTTTTTTATGAAAATTAATTTCTTAACCAATTAAAATCAGCTAATACATACATGCCAGATTTTATATTTGTAATACATTCATATATCATAAGAAAAGGCCGAAAATACTTACCGATTTAATTCGAAATTATCGGAGAATCTTTGTGTTGTTATAGTGACATCAATTTTATCCGTTGCCGGATTGATTTGATTGATAAAGCGTTTGCGATTGCGTAATAAAAAGTTTTGAACGTTACCGTAACGGCAATACTCCACAATAACCATTAATTCACCTAAGTATAAAAAACAAAAATCAGAAAAAGGAAAGTAATCATACGAATAGAATTTCCAATCGAGACTCTTACGTTTAGCTATATTTTTGGTAACCGCACCTAGGAGATTGACTACATTCAAGTGTTGACCTAAATGTACCATAATTTTCAATTCTGATACCAAGGCTCGCATTACTTCATTGTTAGCATTTCGTTTAACCATTTTCACCGCCACCACAGACTCTTTTTCCTCGGGCCGTATACTTTCTGCATGAGCCTTTAACACAACACCGAACGCTCCAGCGCCTAGTTGCTTACCCAATTTGAGTTTCTCACGTGGAAACTCAAAACCACGATCATAGGGCAACAAGTCAGCTTGTTCATCCAAGGTGAGGGCAGGGTTAATGTGTTCAACGGCGCCCTCTTCAAAATTGGCTAAGCCAGCTGCCTTAAGTTCACGTAAAAGTCTTCGTTCACGGTTTACACGTATGCATAGATAGATAACCAAGCAAATTAACACTAAAAGCACTAATAATATGCCCATAATCCAACCCAGTTTCAACCCAGGCATGTCTAGTATAAATAATAGTAGTAGTAGCGTAAACAAGTTTTAAAATTACAGTTTCAATGGACTTTTTGACTTTCAATACCTACTTGTTATCTTTACAGTGACAATTTCTTCTATTACACCCAAACGATTTGATACCACACATTTGTATTGGCCTTCATCTTCCGGCCTTATATAAGGTATAATTAGGCTATCCATTGACAGATTGCTGGCATTTGTGGTAATTTTTATTTCATCTTTATACCAGTCGATTGTAGCTTTGGGAATGGCCTCGGATACACATTTCAATTCCAGCGAATCTCCTAATTTGCGTTCAATTTTAATATTACCTCCCAAATTAGTGTCTTTCATGCGCGGTGCAGAAGGTTCTGAAAAATCGTGAAATGAAAGTGTTGAAACTACAATTTTTTTTAAAAGTTGCGTACGAAAACAACAACAACGACAAGCTTATTACAAAATGTAGCTTGAAAACGCCACAAAATTTTCGAGGTATAGGTTTCCTCGGTGAAGCGTACATAATGCCAAGCTTGTTTTACAGTTGTGGGCTTTTCTTCTTCTATCGTAATTAATAAATGCTTTCTACAATCGTATAATTCGGTACATTATAACGTCATAGATAAAAGAAAAAGTTTTTTCAATGTAAAGTACAGTTGTATAAAGATCATATTTGTATATCTATACAAGTCGTAGCAAATATATCTCTGATATGCATATATCGTGCAATCCTTGCATTTATGACTAAACAGAAAGCGATATTGGGATGTAAAATTTTTTTCTAGCAGAACGACTTTGGCTTAAAATTTTGCCTTCTACTTATATTAGCTTGGGGAAAAAGAAATCCATTATTTTTATATGAACTTCAGGACTTTATTTAACATGCTTCGGATTGTCCGATTTGAGTCAAATATGCACCGTTTTGTTGTATGATTTGTTGCAATTTTAAAGGTAACCTCAAAATGCCTCTCTCATAGAAGTCCTGGTCTCTATTTGCAAAAAACTCTAGTAGTCGATTTTCACAATCCTCCCTAGATTCCAATTTTTTATCATTAAAGAAATTTTGCAATGCAAGAAAAAGATGATAATCGCTTGGTGCCAAGTCCGGACTGTATGGCGGATGCATTAAAACTACCCAACCAAGCTCCCGAAGTTTCTGGCGAGTCACTGTAGATGTGTGTGGCCTAGCGTTGTCCTGGTAGAACACGACACCTCTCCTGTTGGACAATTCTGGCCGTTCCTGGTCAATCGCTGTCTTCAAACGGTCCAGTTGTTGACAGTAGAGATCAGAATTTAGCGTTTGGCCATATGGAAGCAACTCATAATAAATAATCCCCTTCCAGTTCCACCAAATGCCTAGCAAAACCTTCTTGGCCGTTTGAGGTGCTTCACCGCTCTTTGACCACGATCGTTTTCGCACAGGGTTACCGTATGTGATCCATTTCTCATCTCCAGTCACCATCCGTTTAAGAAATGGGTCTATCTATTTCCGTTTGGCCAAGGCTTCGCAGATGGAAATTCGATCCATCATGTTTTTTGCTGTTAATTGGTGTGGCACCCAAACACCGAGCTTCTTTTTGAATCCAGCTTTGTGTAAATGGTTTAAAACTGTTTTATGGTCGATTTTTAGCTCCTGGGCGATGTTATGACTGCTAACATGCCGGTCAACTTCGATCATTTCTCCGATTTTATCGACATTTTCGACGACCGGCCTACCTGTGCGAGGTGCATCTTTAACATCAAAAATTCCTGAACGGAATCTACGAAACCAAAATTGCACATAATTGACTGTTACAGTATCGGAACCGCCTGGCTTGCATTTTCGCCTTTGTCAAAGAAAAACTGTAAAATGTACCGAATTTTCTCTTTGTTCACTTCCATTTTTAACACGCTGTAACTCACAACTGAATGCACCAAACAAAAAAGCGTCAACGTTATTTTAACGTGTGTTTAAAGGTTTAATTAATTAGAAAAAGGGGATAATTTTCTTTGAATATATAATTCTCCTTTTTTTTTGGAGTCAATGCGGTACGTATTATACGCATTTATAGGCGATTCAAGATTCAAACTATGCCTGGCAAGACTTGTCAATCTTCTAGTCCATCTACTTATCATGTAGTAGTAGCCTAGTTCATCTACTTACCATGTATGAATAAATCTACAAATTTATAATCGACTTCATCATGATTTATATGCCGAGCACGACATTCATAAGCACCCCGATCGCTATCTTGAATATTCGTAAATGTTAACGTTGTTTGATAAGAATATTCACTGGAGAATTTGGTGATCAAAAGATCTATTGAAAAAATGCGCATGAGCTTAGGTTAACAGCTTTAGAATAGAACTTTAAATTTTACCGCTTCTTTGTTGAACAGGTATACCCTCCTTAAACCAATTTATTTCATCTGAGAAATAGTAAGCGACTGCCGCGCATGTTATGGTGACCCGGTCACCTCGAGCTATGACATCCTCATCAGTTACTCCCGAGATAGTCATATTGGCTTCAATATCGCGTATAAGAACATGAGCGCGTCCTATAACGGAACCAATTTTATTTTCGGCCTTGCAATGAATAATACCAGGAGTTTTTGGTACAAAGTACAAGTCGTAAATAATTTCAATGGGTGTTTCACCATCCCGTGAACTCGTCTCCTGAAATATAATTCATTTCATAATTTTGATATTAGAAAACAACTGGACTTGTCGCATACATTGAAATCTTGTATAACTTTCTTGTCACAAGACGGCCAACGCGGCGCTATGCTGCATGGTGTGAATACCCAAGTGATTAATGAAATAGGATGCGATTGCACTTGACAGGTAACATGAGCTTTTTCGTCGGCCTGCACAAATACATCATCCACAGACACTATAGGTATGTCACTAATGCTGACATTGAATTGTTGACTTCTCGTGGTATAACCATTGGTAGCATTTATGACGTAAGTACCGCTATCCAAGAGGCGGGGATTTGATATTTTCAGTGTTGAAGAGGTTTCGGTAGTAGTGATATTGAATTTTTGATTAGGCACCGGTAATATTTCACTGCCATCCGGGCGATACCATGTTAATGTTGGCCAAGGATAGCCACTGTATCGAACTGTCATTTGGATGGTTTTGTTCGCTTTTTCCCTTATCACATAGTAATCGTTTGGTTCACTTATATTGATATAACTGGTACCTTTTTCTACAGCACACGTATGAAAAGGAATAAAACATAAGGTAATTAGTTAAGCAAAAGTTTTTCGAACGCCTTACCCATTATAATCATGCGATAACTATTGCGAGCCTGATTATTTGAATGATCGATTATGTTGCAAATATAATTGCCCGTATCTGTCTTCTTGGCATCCTTCACAGTCAATGAATGCTGACTGTATTTGTGAGTGCCAGTTTGCCTTAACAAATTGTGGCCATCTTCCATAGTGCGATTCTAAATGGAAAAGATTGCTATAAATTTAAAAATACTCTACATTTTCATACGTACCTTCAAAGAATGGAACTACACTATACTTGCCCTTCCGCATGCAATACTCAAAAGTATGCAGTAGAGGTCTCAAAAGGTATATATATTTCTGATCAACGCAAGATTCTAACTTAATTTAAGCAATTATTCCCTTTGTACATCTATGTATCGTTTGTATAAAATTCTGCAGATCGATATGACGAATTGGGCGATAACTCTAATGTCACGTCCAATTATTTTTAAAAAGTGTCAACCGTCCAGCGATGCCTAACAGTATTTCATATTATTTCGATGTCGTTTTAGTTACGCTACTCTTCCTTTTTGATGGGTTTCTTTGTTAAATATAATTAATCACTTAAGCCATGACTCTATACGTGTAACAAGGTGACGGTCAGAAAAAAGTGAGAGAAGAGAAAGCGTTAAGGAGCGACACCAATCCAGTGCTTGTGTGGCCAATCGGTAAGCCCTGTGCTTTTACCAATCACTGACTTGTCACAGCACTGACGCAGTCTTCATGCGGCTTGAAAATTATAATGACAACTCCTTTGTGGCGAAGGCAATAATTTGCTGTGGACTCGTTGATTTTAAATGAGGTCTTCAATTAAGCTAAAAGCACAACGCGGTGGTTACTCCAGAAAACATCAGGAATATATTGAAAATTATTTTCGAGTTGCGGAATCTGCAAGTGGTAACTAACATTCTAAAGTTATCAAAAGGTAGAGCATTCACTTTTGTGCGTGGAACTTTAGGTAGTGAAAAAATTAGATATATTTTGTGTCTATTCTATTCTCGAAGAAGGCTTTGTTGCTGAGTAACGTCGACTTTTGCCCAAAAGTTGTCTAATGCCGGTAATTATTGAACGATGTACTAAATATATTCTCAGTTGATGGCTAAGACTTTCTCGTCCATAAACTTACAGCCAACTATTCATAGTAGAACTTGGTCTAAAACTCAAATATACATTTGCGCTTTGAGCACTCCTTGTAACTGCACTGAAATATGGTTTTGAGGCTTCTATAAATGTGCATTGACAAAGTACTAATTATTGCAGTCTACAAGAAATATTGATCTGCAACCATGTACTACGGATATTTCTAAAGGTCAGATGAAATAATTGAATAAAAATCGTAACCATGGACCAACTGGCCCATGTTGAGCTACTCTTTTTATGTAAGCTGAATGATTGGAAAGAGTCTCAAGAGGTCTATGAGGTTGGCATTATATTATTTTTGAAAAACCTATAGGTTGGCCTAGGTTTGCGAAAGCTGAGGCTGCCGACACTTGTTCTTGTAAGCCATCCAGATCGGTAGTAATCAGAGTTTCCGTTACAAATTTGGTCCAATCATAGGTAGGATAGTATATAGACAAGTCTCGGGCATAATAGCACGTCCATCCGGTTAGTTATGTAAGCTTTGTCATAGTCTTCGCAGTAAGGACATGTATGTTCTGTTTGGTAATGGTCTGCGAGGTGTCCGAAGATCGTGATGGGTCTCCCATTTGATAAAAGGTTTTGCAGTTTTAATGTATACTGAAGGGGCTAAGTATAAGTTTTGCACTTTTTTCTTTTTAAAAAGATAGCTTACCTTATCTACACCTACAGGCATAATCCATTCAATTTTATAGCGAACATCATGAGCTATTTTAGTTTCGCATTTCAATTGAAAAGTATCGCCTTCATAGGCATGATGTTTAGCCGTTGAAGTTACATTCGGTTTATCCACATGTGTTGTATACGCTGTATAGTCAATCCATATGTAATAAAGGGAATTAGTTAATTCTTAAACAAATTCATGAAGCTCTTCAACATTTTACTCAAATAAAAGCCAGACTACATGGGGAGCTTCTTTTTTTAACATGCATGATGATTACGGAAACTGAAGCATGCGTATGACACAAAACATATAAATGAAGAGGTGTTTACATATAGTATAAAATTATGTACAAATAGGAAGCTTTCAAGTGTCTATTAACTCGAAGATTATATGATTAAATTGAATAACTTTTTAATTATAAAAAAACACATTTACAAAATATAAGCGATGTATACATATATATATATATATGAATATAATCACTTACAAATTTAAGAAATGAAAAATAAATGAAAAAAAAAAAATATATATATATATATATATTTACAGCATTCCTTAAAATTGTTTTGTAATTGATAAAGCAAAACTTTCGGCTACGCTTGCGAAAGTTCGGCTGCGAAAGCTTGTTTGTATCAAAAGTTTTTTTTAAGGAAAATTTCTCCATTACCAAGAATAAGTAAATAAATAAAGATGTGACATGCTCTTCAAAAAATTGAAAAAAAAAAAAAACAAACCAAATAACATTGACAAGATTTGTGGGAGAGAAACAAAAACACACTGGTTAGAAGAGTGAACAGCAACACTTACGGCGACGGGTACTAAGATGATGAGAGGACGAACGACGTGTTGTTGTTTGCACATCACGATCAAACCGAAAATGTATAGGCATTACTTGTAATTCAGAAACTTTTTCAATCTCATATGCTAACTCAATCTCGTTGTCCTCCTTATCATCATTGTCGTCGTCATGATAGACACTAATATCTTCGTCATCATAATTGACTTTGTTGGAGTTAACCGTGGTAGTATGAAGATGAAATTCATCACCGTTGTAATGATAACCAACACCCGAAAGCGCATTTAAAGACGATGATTTTACATCTTCACCAATTAGAGTTATTAAGTTATTAGATAAAACCTGATCACCCATATTTGTTATATTAACAATAGTGCGGTTAGTTACATTAACAACATGGTTAGTTACTGAACTTGATATTGTTCTGCTGTTGGCAGCAGGTGGTGATGGTGTTGTTGGTGATGGAACGGTAGAAGAATCCACATCACCGCTAAAGCTAGTATCCAATTGTGTATAATCTGACGAGTCTTTTTATAATTTAAAAGAAATAATTTTGTTTTACAATTTTTTTTTTTTTTTGTTTTATAAGGGAAAGAGAAAAAGAAAGCACAGAATAAAAGAAATTGTAAATTTTTAAAAAATGTGTTTAGGCGAACAGATAGTTAATTAAAACCTTTACCCTATTATTTTATGTTTATTATCAGTATAATCATTGATCTTAAAGAAAGTTGTTTAATTAATCTCATTTTAATAATTTGGGAAAACAAACCATTATTTATCGTTTTCTAAATTGCATTGTTTTGCTTTGTGGTGGTGTACTACATAACCTCAAAATGCCATTATTTTACATAGATAAATAACTTTTTGTAAGAGAGACCAGAGTTCAAAAACAAAACTTAAACAAAAGGGAGGACAGAAAACAAGCACAAAACTGGGGTGCAAAACTCACTATCAATGATTTGGTTACCAAGTATAAGTTCAATTTCCGTTGATTCCTCCTCGTTAGTTAACGGCGGTATCTTTGGACGGCAAACGTAAAGGCCACTTTCTTGAAAGTTACGCAATTCAATAACAAAACCCAATCGTGGATTATAACGCACTGGACTGTCACTCGCTAGAGTCTAAAGTTCAAATTTTTAAAATAGAAATTTTTATATAAAAAATATTAATTACAATAGAAATTTTTATACAAAAGTGCAGGCTGTGTGATGCGTGTAAAATGTGAAATCATAAATGAAGAAAGGGCTTTCAAAAAATCATTATGGTTTTAGGCAATGGACTTATAGTTTGTGAATAGCCCACACCGGCTTCGAAGTTAAATACCTACGTATAGATATATATATAAATGTTCGGTAAAGGGCAGAGCTTATGAAATTCATCATATTTCCTGTAGTTTAAATAAGCTTTATGAAGTCGAATACCGATAAATTTTAAAATCCTTATGCCGTCATTATAACATGTCATTCCATAAGTTCGTAGAAAGACATACAGATGTAGGAAGACTATTAGATAGTACCAACATTGTCATGAAATTCGGTACATTTCGTTTCAAGGTTAGTGCTATGTCAAAATTGTATGTTTGCATTGATAACGACGACATCTATATGTTATCCTACGAATTTATTGAGTGACGGCTTGGAACTTCGTAGGTTTAAGGACGAAAAAGTCGACCAGGCAATTTTTATAGACCTCTTTTAAAGTTAGTTTTATTTCATAAAGTCCTGCGAAGAACGAAAGAAATGGTATGCGCTGAGCGAAAGAAGCCACTAAAGATGTTTGTGACGCTATGACGGTAGCCGACTGCTGGTCGTTCTTTTCTATTAATCTCTTCTGGACGATTTACCCAAATTACACGCTTTGCTTGAGTTTCCCATCCCGGTTTTGGTACAGCTCCTTCATCTATTTTGAATCATGCCTTTTTGTCCGACATGGTCCTGATATGTGACCCGCTTTGCATTGCTCTTCAACGTTATTAACAAAATCGCTTAATTTTGCCTCAACTCAGCAATAGCTCGTAGATATAAATTCGATCCATTCAATTATTTTAATGTTGATTCATGCAAATGACGCAAAGCAGCTTTTCGTCTAATTGTAAAATGCGGTTGAAATGTTTGCGACCTTTTTTAATAGATTTAAGAATTCCATTGACATTTCAACTGAGTTAACAAAAGTTGCATTCAGACGTCTTTCACAAAGGGTTAGTGTCGCCAATACTCTACACTCTAAAACTATCTGTTGACAGAGCTTTTTTACTTGCCCTATGATGTACACAATCCCTAACTTTTCTCTTCTAGCATCATGGTGTAAAAAAGGATAAAATCCTTGCCGAAAACTACACAAATAACTTTAAATAAATCTATTTTTGTTTGTTCTTCTAATTTTTAAGAATGGTTTTTATATCCCGATCTCTAATAGATTTTTCCAAATTGGCGATAAAAATGGGCCGGATTATATTTAGAAATATGGGATTTCTAAAGACACAGGATGATCAATGAATTCAGTCAACTATCTAAATAGTCGCGTTATTCTGGTCATCCTATGTTTTTGACGGCAGTGTGGACTTCAGTTTGAATTTTTTCTAAACGTTCACTTGTTGTTATCAACACTGCTGACAATCAGATTCGCACTAAGGCATGTAAACAAGTATTGACTGAATGTAAGACTGGAGAGGAAAATTGCGTTCATTCGCAAAGGCGGGGAAAGCTCGTATTTACCAATGATTAAATATGGTAGACTTGAGAATTTCAAGCGAAGCATAATCAATGCCAAATTTTTTTTCGAGTTCAGGTTTTAAAAAGAAATATTGTTGTTATTATTACAATTTGTTTAGATCAAAAAATACATTTTAAGACTAGCACCTAGGACTATGGTCTCTGAATAGAAATTATATGGCTCCGAAGCTCTACTTTAGCGAAAAAGGTTGTGGAAGGGAGCCTTTCAAGTGCGCCTTAGTGCCCCCTTCAGAAAACTAGCAAGTCAAGTTAAAATAGGTGAGGTCAATAGTTTCGTGGCAAATTGAACTTAAAAGTTTTTTTCAACATTCAACTGACAAACCGGTCCAGCAGGTTTTTAGAATTACTTATCAAATGTTCCGAAAGCATATCCCGTGGTTTGATCACTTCCCAAAACTGTTTGCTTGTCTTGTCCGTCGTATATTCGCCAGGCGTTTATTTTTCCGACTAGCCTTTGTTCCGACCGCAATCTGAACAGTATCATCTCTCTTATTGGGAATCCAAGATATATTTATCGATTTTTGACTGCTTCTAAAGAGTGGTCGGTAGCCCTGGGGAAACTCTCACAGCTAAGAAAAGACTCCGGCATTTAAGATTAGCGAAGAATAGGCATATGTTAGCTACCGTTATAGGTTTAAATGGTCACATAAAGTATAATTTTTAATATTTAATTGACATGTAATTATATTCATCTCTCAGTTCGTCCGTTCATTTATTCAGTGAAAAAAAGGTGCAATCTGATGCATGTTGTACAATTGAAGACAGCAGATTAAAACATACATACAGAGAAAAACATACTCGCAATCAACGCTTTAAGTGATTTTTATCAATAGTTTCGAAAATAACATATTTGGATACTTCGGAAAGTAGTTCCAATCGACAGGAACTCACGTTAGCACTTATTAACGTAAATGCTATTCCGAAATCGTCATAGGGCTACGATTACGAATGAACGCGAATTTTGTACAAGTGTTGCCGCACTAAAACTTTTCTTTTCGATCCAATAAAAGTATTGGTTTTCGGATTATAGGAAACGAGCGATATGAAAGGATTCTTCACTTATATTTTGTGTGCACTATAATAATAAGTACAATAAGTATGTATCGTTAGGAAGAAGAATTTTAGTAAATTCATAAGTTTATTGATTGCGAAAAACTAGATCACATGCTGAACAGCATTTAGGTTAGAATCGAAACGAGAAATGCCTTTGTCAAAAATAGACAAAGTTTCTCTCGTGCAACATCATACTATGTTAAGCGATGAAAATTTATTTTACTCTAACCATGACGTAAAGGTAATAACAAATTCGCAGAATAATACTTTGGTGACGCCATAGCTTGGCAGCCTAACATATACATTTTTGACATATAAAAAAAAAATTATAATCAATTATTTACATATTTTTCATATATATGTATGTGCATATATATGTACATATACATATGTTAAGGATTAATATTTAAAAGGTTTAAATGGTTTAATACATTAGAGTCACACGTAAGCTTTAAAGGATTTATAATGCAGGCCGTTATTAATTTTGGGGCCATATAGCCTAAACACCTACATATTGAGACGACAGATTTATGGAATTTGAAGTCAGCCGACGTTTGTGGTCACGAAACGGAAGTTTTATTTGCCTAAATCCTTCGGAAGAAAAAATCAGCTCAAGATCATCGATCGTGGTGTGGGGCTCATGCGGGACGCTAATATCAATTTGGACAAGGCAGTATTGAAAAGCTGGTCACGAACAATTTCTACAATTTTTGGGACTGACTGGCGAATCTATTTCATTCGTTTGCTTAAAAATAGAGGAAGACACCAAAAGCGAGAAAATTAAGTGTTAAAGCTAAGAAACTGCCAACATCTGCTTCAAAGATAAAGTAGGTTTTTTTCTAACAATTCGTACTTGATTAAGAGAAGGGAACTCAGAAAATTGAGATTGTAAGGAGGCATGTGGCGATATATTCATGGTGTTTTCTGTTAACAACTCGATGTATCATGGCTGTTAAAACTGTATCAAACCATTACCGGAGACACCTAACCATTATGGTAGGTGCAATTGAGCCAAGCATTAAAGAAAAAGTTGACGGTATATGAACGCAAAATAACAATTTTGTTATAGGGCAATTGTCAACTATATGTTGCAATGCAGGTCAGAATGCATCTTGCAAGTGGGACATTTCACGTCATTCTACAAACATTGATCCTTCTGACTGTCACTTGTCTGACTTATGGTCACTTAATGACCTATGGCCTTTTTAAGGAGAACTCTCAGGTTTGCATGCAAAAAATGAATCGATCTTTCGATTACCTCTAATGAGAAAATATGCTCGTCGGTTTAATGCGAAATTCGTATATTGGTAGAAAGCTCGAGAAGAGTAATGAATAGCGATGAGAAAAACTTTGAGTATCGAATGTATATAATATTTGGGTCCAAACTTCATAAGAAATCCTTTAAAACTTATTTGTACTCTTATTATTTTGCATATAAATATTTTGTATATAATCAAACTACTCTCATACTTTATAATAGAAGGAGACTAAGAAGAATTGTAAGAAACGAAAACATACGCGATATGGAAATTGAAAAACTATTAATGCTGCTTTGTTCCCCAAGTTGACCGATACAATTAAACCAATGCAAACTCTTTGCCAGACGATGCATAATAAAGCCCAACTTGGGATTATAACTAATACCATCGAATAAAAGATCGGGTGGATAGTCTTTGCTTAAATACGTAATATTCGAAGTGCTAATTGTGATTGAGGTATTAGAGGAAACGTCAAACGAATCCTAAAGATATAAACGAAAAGAAATGATGATAATAAGCAATATGAAAGTAAAGTAGATGTTAAGCGTTTTCATTAAATTCAATAGAGTGAGTGATCGATAAATGATATTAAATTAGATGAAATTGCAATTACTATATATTTTATATTACCTTGCCAGTGGGTGTGGTCAGTAGAACATCGACATTGGGCATGCTGGGTTTACAAGGTATGACAGCATCTTGAAATTGCATAACATGTATAACGGGAAATAGCATAGGAGCGAGGAAATTCTCAGTATCTGCAAGGTTAAGAAAAATATTAGAAAAGATTCTTTACTATATGAGAGCGAGTAAAACGCTTATCCTTACCATTTACATAAATGTATATCGATGAAGCTAAGTTACTATTTGACAAGTCAGTTAGCTCAGCATCCTCCATTCCCTGAACATCTTTAGTTAAGCTCTTTGCCTTTATGCAATAATAATTGCCAACAAATACATAATTGACATCGAGCAGTGTTAGTGTGCTGCCAAATGGGCGACTTTTATCTTCGGTTTTATGTTGAATTTCATCGACAGTGGCTTCCATCGGATATTTCCATATAATCGGTTCACTATCTTCACACTTTAGCGTAAAATCGCTATTTACCTCTAAAATTAATTCATCCATAAGCGGTATTAGTAGAGGAGCGCCCAGTGCTACCGCAACATTTGCATCATAATCATTGCCCTTGCTAATACTGTTTGATAACTGCGGTCTTGGATGTGGTACTACAAAAAATTAAAAAAAAAAAAAAAGAAAAAATAAATAAATAAAAGGAGAAAAATAAACAACAGATTTTAAAGCGAAGCTCATAAATAATCAAATGTAAGAGATAGCCTGGCTGAAGTACAATAATTGCAAGCTTATAATAAATACATCGAAGTCTTTTCTTTGTTTTGAAAACTTTCTTTTCTTGTATTTCATTTATTGGCGTACATATGTGCAACTGTCTGGCGGCGTTTTGTACTCAAGATGCTTGTACTAGGTTTTTCCTTTCATTTACTACAAATTTGTTATAATTCGTTTTTTTTTTTAATATTTTTTTTATTGTTATTTTGAAATCGCAGTCTAGTGCAAAGTGTATTCTAGACTTTTATATTTACTATAAACCGGCCTATCAATCATTTGTTTATACATTTTTTCTTTGTTTTCATTTACTTATTTTTTTTTTTCAGACTTAAGTTTCAATGATCTTAAGTTTTCTTCTTACAAAAGAGAATTTGAAAGCACATACTTTTAATTTCATAATGCACTATAACGTTCATAACGTCGAATGAGAATATTTCAATAATATTTGAAAACGAAAGAGAAGAAATCATTAGTTAACAAATTTGAAACATTTGCTCTAAACTTTATAATTTCAAGTTGACTTTATTAGCCATAAAGTATAAATACTTTAGGTCACTAAGAGAATATTAGGCGATTTAGCTGTTATGGCTATGGCAAGAATAGTGCAATAGTAATAGAAAGTTGGCTACGGTCAGTCGATTAATTCCTTGTCCTTTTCCACTTCCAAGTGCGTGGTAAGTTACTGTCTTTCTGTGAGCGAGTAACTAGTGCTCTTTGAGTAACTAATACTAAATCATTAAAAAGTCTATTTTCTGAAGACGAATTGGAGGTGTTTTGAGATATTAAACCAATTGTAAACTGAGGGCTTCTGTCAACACGAAGCAATTTGTAATCTTCTGTTGATAGCCCATTCTGACGCCTATTGCTGGCGTTGTTCTTAGGTAATACAACAGAAAAAACAAGACGGAGAGAGAAGCTTCAGTCGATGTAGAAAGTGTTTTCGATTCGAGCGGTATAATAGAAGGTGGGTCCATCCAAAGTCCTTTTGTGTCATGCATACGTTCGCACAAATGTGGTACATCCTTGTGCCACAAATGGTGTACGGTAGAATTAATTCGTTCGAGCCTAACTTAAAAAAAAAAGTTGCATGCTTTCTAGATTTCTAGTCGTATTCTCAAGAAGTGTTCGGTTCGTTGTTTCAAGGGAAAAATTTCAAGCGTATTAAGCAAGGTCAGGAAGTAAACGCTTTTTCTCGTCGACGTGCCGCGCATGCATTTCATTTATTTATTATCCATTTTCAATTCAATTGCTTATATATCACCTATATCGGGCTATTAATGAACAGTTGAGCAAGCGACGATAGTGCAACATTCTAACACCACAAAACTTAACCCAAAGTAGTTAAATTTCTATCTATGAACACATGGTTCTATAAAATGCAATTAAACAAAACATAAGCACCATCCTGGGGCTCTTTTCACCAAGTTGTGAGACTTTAGTAATACAACGCTTACCAATAGACCACTCACTCGTTTATCGATTATTATCGCCAAGGTATGACATTGACAATATACGAGCCCGTGGAGCAGTTGATTTAATACTAAGAATAGAATCAGATTTATTCATCAGGCCGTGAGTCTCGTTTCAATTACTGCTAAGCACCCTAAGTGGGATAAATAAGTCACAATCGCTTTTACATTGGCTGAGCATTAACAACTGATAGCTTTTAGAGGATCAAACGGGAGCATTAATGTAGGTTTCACTCAACAGAGTTTTCGAGTGGATAACTCCATTAATCAATTTCACCCAATCCTAACTATAAAACGACGTTTCTCCAGAGTGGGTAATGATATCAGTAGTAATCTGTGTTCATATGGCGGCAGAGTTTCAAGGAGGTTCCATGGCAAATTCCTTAATGCAAAAAGCAGGAATTGTTTTTGCATCGATTTTGTCTTAAAAATTCAGACGAATCTTTTCTACCTTTTTCTTACTTTAACATTTTTATACTCGCTCGTACTAAGTATCAATAAATTTTTTTGAATAAATTTAGAAAGATCCTCCCACCTTTAAGGAACTCAACGACAACATTACTTTCGAACGTAAGACGAGCTTTATTAAGATCTTACATCATCTCTCTTTGTTCACTCAACCTATGGGTCATTTTAAACGGCATGTGTTTTATTAAAAGCAACTCGTTGCTTAAGTGGTATAATTGTAAGGAAACACGGATATTGGAACAAATTTGATCCATGTTAATAAACCAAGAAGACAATAAATCTGTCCGCATATTTCGTTAAAAGAAAGATGATCTCACAACAGAGATAAATGATCAGCTTGCAACGCTAACTGTCTGACGAAAGAAAAAGAAAATTTTCTTTTCTGGATTAGCAGTTCGATGTATTAGAAAGGCTTGTCTCTATTATATAGGAAAAGATTTTATACTGTGTGCACTTAAGCTTTTCGCAGAAAGCTTTTCCATCTCTTTTTCTCCCTATGGTGTATGCATTCCTGTTCCTGACGATTCCGAAACTATGTTACTGTGATCACAGTGCCTGCATGCGCGATTAATCCGTCTGCCTATCGTCTCTTGATTTTGCGAAAGGTTCAGCAAGTCGATGACTGGTTCCTTTGTGGTGCCAGTTTCATTGACTTAATGATTTTATTTCTTCGAGTGTTTAATGGCGGGTGTTGTATGATTGTTGCCCAAACGAAGGAAAACCGTCCAAACATTTTTTAAATCGATAGTTTTCGGTCTAAATTCCGGGCTCTACTTATTCGAAGACGGCTCTACTTATCGAAGACGACTTCGTGAAGTAATCAACGCATATAAACACATAGCCCTGATTAGCAAGCACAGACCTTTTGACGTTGTCTACATTGCTTCACTCTCTAACATTATGACAGAAGCCTGTTCATCTTCAAGGCTAACTTGTGAAAATCTTTAAAATCAAAGGACATAGTAATGAGAAGAATGCAGAAGTCGGCGGCCTATATAAGTGCAGTTTAAGTCTAGTCGCACTGAATGGTCGCTTTTTATCTACCAACTATGCTCGCAAAAGTATGAGTAAGAACTCCTTGCGGTAATTGTGGTGATCTTTCGTGCCTGAACGAATATGTACATATACATATATATATTCATTAGAGCATTTAGTTCTTATTACGCTCGTTGCATATAGGATTATATAACACATAAGAGAGACTCCGTAAGACATAATTTATTAAACAAATTCATCTGAATATCATTCGGTCCTTTCGATAACAATTGCGACAAATTCTTTAGTAAGTAAGCCTACGATTAAGAAAAAATTCAAGTATTATAATATTGCGGGCGTTAGTTTTTTTTCATTTCCACTTGAAGCGAACATGTTAAGCCATAATGTCGAATGCTTTCAAGCATAATTGAATCATTTTATTTTATACATTTAATAGTGAATGCATGTACGAACTTATGTGTACATCTATGAAGTTTTAAAAATATGCGATACCGCTCTGTACGGAATAAATTATTAAAGAATCGTGGAATAAAGAAAAATATAAATAATGGCATCACTACACTAACAACAGCAGCAACAATCATTCTTTCTATTATAAAATAAGTTTCTGTTGATCTTTTTATTATTGAAATGCACTCAACACATTGGAATTATTGAAAAACAATACAAACACTGTTCCAATTTAAAAAAGAAAAGAAGCAAAACGTTAAAAATGTAAAGCACGAATGAAAGTATTTTATGAAAAATTTCTACAACATTTCAAGATATGCAAAATAAAACCCATAAAAGAAAAGCAGAAAAATGAATATTTTTGTTTCTCTTCAGTGTTGCTTTGCCGATAGGGATCAAAGTCCAAAATAGACAGAGCAGAGTTACATGATAATTGAATTGTAAGCCGAAAAAAAAGTCAACAAACAGGCAGAGGCTTCACTGAAATGTTATATGATCGTGATCAGTCAGTCAGTTAGTCAGCCAGTTAGCCACTGGTTTTAAATGAGACTGACACAATTTTTCACTTCAAACTCGATTGGCATATGATAAGATACGATATGAATAGCGATGACCGCCAACGAAGTGAGCTATCAACTGCTGCCAAGGTGGACAGACGACTCCTGTACGTGTTCAATGTTCAAACACTACGTTTGCCTTAAAGAAAGTTTAGCATGAAGAGTTAGAAAAGTTAACTCGAAGGTGGGAGCAATTATTCATTTCAATCATTCGATTCATATTTGTGTGCGAATTATATTTCTATTAAAACGCATTTTCCGAACTACTTCGCACGCTGATATTTACAAATTTTATTCATCTGTTTGCAAAGCATTTATGCATTGTTATATATATATGCTTGTAAATTAAGTATGTGTGTATACTTGAGTTCGCGTAAATTCGCGTTTATGGGCAATGACTGCAATGTAAACATTGAATACGTTGACTATGTTACCAAAAAAGATTCAACCACATAGATAATCCATAAATTGGGACGTGTTGAAAATATTTAATGTTTAAAACAGTAAAGTTTCTTTTTATGCGTAACGCATTCTAGGCAACATTATATTTTATGATTCATATATCACTAAAAAAATTATGCCAACTACATATGTATACGGATTTGTTTTAGAAAGTTTTTAAGAGTTAAAATCGCCAAACATCACAACAAGTAAAAATTCGGTCGCGATTGAATCTTCTATACCCATCACCGTAGCAAAAGACTCTAAATTTGTACACTCTATAATATTGGATGGGATTCCATCTGAAAAACAGAGATGTTCTCAGTTTACGTGGTATTGTTAGCATGTCCTTCGACCAACTTGACCCATTTTCAATGTCAACCTACACGCCAGAACTTTCAATGCTTCCGATAAGTTTGAAGTCGATAGCTTAATTTTCGAGGCCAGGGGAGTGTCTACAATAGACTTTACACAGACAGATATGCACAAATCGGTTTA